TGCTGTTCTTATTCTAGGGTGAGTGGGGTCGGCGGGTGAGCATCTCCAGAAGAAGCCCCTGCCCACGTGACCTTTCTCCACTAAACTTCTAGAAGAAGACATGTGGAATTAGGATGGATAAAGTGAAACCAAAGGTGGTGGATGTGAAGGAGAGGACTACCACCCTAGAAGAGGGACAGGCTGATGCTATGGATGGGAAGGCCTGCTGCTCTGTGTTTGCTGGACGGGGAGAACAATCCTGGGATTTCTAGTAAGAAGAACCTTTGGAGAAAACAAGTGACTGAGACTCAGGCTGCTGAGGGGACCCGTGGAAGAGGAGCCCAGCAGAGGAGCTGAATGTTCTCAGAAGGGCAAAGCCAAGGATGGAGAAGGAGGTTGTGGTGGGTGCAGAGGGGAGCCCCAGCCAGCTGGAGAGGGGCACCCAAGCCAAACCGAAGAACTGGGTGGGGGGTCTACGCAAACGCACACCAAGACAGCTGGGAAGTGACCATTCTGTTTTGAAATATAAACCCAAAGCACCTGCCACACCAGCCCTTCCGACTTGCCATCATTTGGTATCCAAATGTGAAGGAATTTATGTCTTTGTTTGAAGACAGGCATCTGGGCATCCGGGTGGGGATGGGAGTGTGCAACCACGCAGGGAGTGCACATGAACACCCGTTGGCTTTCCCCAGGGCCCAAGCAGGCACAGAGCCATTGCTTTGCTAACCCAAGAGACAGAAGTCCGGCGGGTGCACACGGGTCTCTGGGAAGCATTTCTGTGACACTGAGTCTCTATTGTCTCCCCATTGCAGGAGCATCCAGGAGTGTGGCCCTCAGGCCCTCCTGGGCCTGCCCTTCTGTTTGCTCAGCTCTCCCACTCAGACAAAAGGACAGGAATAGTGTTGGCTCTGAAGTCAGGCCCATGTGGGTCTGCTCCCAGCCTGACCCCTCTCCTGCAATGGACACTGGCCAAGGACTTGCTGCTCTGAATCTTGATTTCTTCTTAGTGGGATGGGGGTGATGTTTCCCATGCAACACCTCACTTCGCATCAACTTGGGCATAACTAGGCAGTTAGACCTGCAGGACTCCCGGGTACTGGCAGGAGATGGAGCGGACAGCAGCCACGGCTCCCTCGGTGGGACTCGTCGGCAAAGGAGACCATCCAACCCGTGGGGGACCAGGAGCCCGTTCTCTGAGACAGCTCAGGTGCAAGGGAATGAGACCCACACGAGCAGGTATGGGAGTGGCCCTGGCTCAGAAACCCAAAGTCTCCAGTATCTGTGAAAGTCCTGGGCATTGCTTCCAAAGTCCCTGCCAGGGACAGGCCAGTTCCAAGAACCATTGTACTCAGGGGACCACACAACCCTGGTGGCCTCCTGGACGCTTCCCTGGACTTCATCCACAGCCCTCCGCTCCCAGGAGAGGGTGTATACCCCTCACGGTTGTTGTGGGTGTTGTGGCCTAGTAGCACAGTCGAGGTTCCACGTAGTGCGGTTCCCAGGGCAGCAGAGCTACAAGAACAGCTGAACCTCAGGTCAGTGTCTCAGGCAGGAAGGAGAAGGGTTGGGTCCACCCTTTACCACCACCCTCCTCACAGATCTGCTGGGAGGATGAAGGGAGAGCCCTGTCAAGTTCCTGGCACATGACACAAGCCCTCACCCCAATTCCTGGCTCCTCTGTGGCCAGTGACAACCCCTGAGGAGCTGGGCAGAGAAGTCCAGGGGTCACGCCTGTGTCCTGTCGCTGCTGTTCCGGTGGCGTTGTGGGCCAGGAGGCCAGCCATGCCGGGTGACAAACCATCCTCATTTGTCTGGGATGTGGGATTTCCAGTTTTAAGATGGGACAAGTCCCAGGCAAGCCGGGATGAGCGAGTCTGTCTGCAGCGTGAGGACTTGACTGCCAGCCCTACTTCACTTTGTCTCCCTCTGCTGTGTGTCCTGAGATGGACTACTACTTCTTCTTCTTTTTAAGATTATTTATTTATTCATGAGAGACACACAGAGAGAGGCAGAGGCACAGGCAAAGGGAGAAGCAGGCTCCATGCAGGGAGCCCAATGCAGGACTCGATCCCAGGATCCTGGGATCACGACCAGAGCCGAAGGCAGATGCTCAGCCACTGAGCCACCCAGACATCCCCAACCTGGACTTCTGTGAAATGCAAAAGGGGGGGTGGGTGGGTGTGCTCTGCTGATGCTGCTGGCGTTAGCTCATCAGAAAGGCCCGAGGTTTACTGATGCACCCAGCACTGTTTGAGACCCTGTGCAAGGAGCTAGCTGCAGGTGCAGGTGCCCTGGGCGTGTACACCTGCCCCATGTCAGGGTTACCTTGGAGAGATGCACGCTGTGCTTTAGCATGAGCTCAACACCTATCTGAGCAAACTGATTATCTTTCCTCCCACCGGCCACTCCTCCCCTCTTTTCTTCCCCATCCTTCCATCCTGTGGCTGAGAGTCTCAAGGTCTCTGGCTCCTGCTTTTCCCTCACCTTCCGTAGCCAGTTGATGACCCGTGGAATCCTGCGGGATGGTCCCAGTACAAACAATGACATGTTTGTTTTTGCCTGTTTTCTCACATTTAACCAGAACCTGCTAGAGGCCTGCCAATTCGGGGTGCTCCTCCCTGAGGTTATCTGAGAGCTCTGCAGGGCTTCTGCAGACCCCAAACGATGCCCTACCCCACCCTACCCCCCAAGACTACGCCCAGCAGTTAAGTAATTGGCCCAGAATTCTATCTGAGAATAGAGATGAGATTCAACCCCAGGCAGTGTGGCCCTGGAGACTGAGGTCCAGGTTGCCCCACTATATCCCCTTTCAGCCAACACTCCACCCCACTGCTTCTGGCCACTCTGAGTCTGTTGCAAGCCCTGTGGGTCACCCCAGCATGCTGGCCACTGCTAGAGCAATATAATTAAAAACAAAATCTTGTCCCAACCTGGAAAACCCCTCCATAGAGGTAAACAAGAAAGAAAGCGTGTTAATTCTTGAATGAGCATCAAACCAGAACATGATGTGCATCACAGGTGCTCTGCTCAGAGATTTGCAGAGACAGAAAGAAATCTCATTCCTTTTCAGCCAAGCAGATACAATCCACTCTGTACATGTCCTCAGGATAAGAGTAATCAGTTCTCCAATAAGAGGACTTGACAGCACCAGCTGTTACACGTAGGTCACCCTAAATTCACCTCGCCATTGGGTGACCCCCTGTGTTCGTTAATATGGGGTTTTGTTTTTATTAGTTTCAGAGGTAGAATTTAGTGATTCATCAGTTGCATATAACATCCAGTGCTCATCCCATCATCTGCCCTCCTTCATGCCCATCACCCTGTTACCCCATCCCCTCACCCACCTCCCCTTCGACGACCCTCAGTTTGTTTCCTAGAGTTAAGAGTCTTTTAAGGATTGTCTCCCTCTGAATTTTTATCTTATTTATTTATTTTTTCAAGATTTTATTTATTTATTCATGAGACACACACAGAGGCAGAGATGTACGTAGAGGAGGAAGGGAGCCTGATGCTGGACTTGATCCCAGGCCTCCAGGATCACACCCTGGGCCGAAGTCAGACGCTCTACCACTGAGCCACCCAGGCATCCCTTATTTTATTTTTTTATACAAAGGAGAATGAAACTCTTCTCATCTTTTATGACAGGGTGGCTGTGGAGTGTGGATCCAGGCTCCCCTGAAGCTAGGCCCCTCGTGTCCCCCAGGGTCTGGGAGACAGGATTCTGTTTTCCTTGGATGTTTCCATTCCAAAGAGATGGTTCCCAGATGGCCCTTCGGAAAGACATCCCTGGGTCAGAGAGCTGGCAAAAGGTTTATTTAGCTTTGAAAAAGTGTTACGTGTGTTTCAAAGAGATGACAAGGAACTTACAAGTTTTCTAAAGTTCTTGCTTTAACAGGGGCCGGTAAGCCTGGTATTTTTAACTTCTACTAACCTTGTGCGGCTCTGCAGCAAACTGAGCACAGTGGCTCCTCCTCCATGGCCAGTGGCCTCCTCGTCACCTCTGTCCTCAAAGCAACGCCTGGCCGGGCCCTCCCTGCCCCCCAAACTCCCAGGACACACCGTCCACAGAGAGATGCCAAAGCCTTTGCCCCGGAGCTCAGGGCCCCAAGCCACCTTCTGTTCTCCTTCCTCCTTCCCCCTCCGAGCTCCCACAGTCCCGGCCACTCCCTCCATGTGTCCCGACACTTCTGCAGCCCGGGGACCCCAAGGCTGCCCCAGCCTGGGAGCCTCCTGTGCCTGCCTCTGCCAGCTGAAGTCCACCATTCTGCATCCCTGCAGGCCCTGGCTCCCCCCGCCCGCCCAACCCCAGCAGGACATGTTTTCTCCTGTCGGGGTCCTGGTACATCCATTTGTCACTTCTCTGAGTTTTGGATTTAGACCTGGGTTTGAATCCTGACTCTGGCCCTTCCTATATGTGAGGCCTGGACAAGCTCCTCCACCTTCTGGAACCTCTGTCTCACCAACTACAAAATAGGTATGATAACGTCCACGTCCTAGGGTTACGGCACAGTTGGACCAGCTAGGGTGACGTGGCCGAGATCTCAGGCGATCTGCCCAGGGCAGCACTAGCACGCGTCCCCTCCGCCGGGTGAGCTCTTGGTCCCCAATTGTTTGCTGTCCCCAGAGAGGAGGCACAGAGCTTCACTCCCTCATAGAGGAGGTGGAAGGGAGCAGCACCACCAAGAATTTATATTTCTGATGGCTCTGCCTGGAAATCTCATTTTACCTTTCTGTGTGCATCATTATGCATTTAATCCCAGGTGACTTTCCCGCAGTGGCTTCTTGCTCTGGGTGAGTTCTGACGTGCCAGCTTGTAAACCGAGAGGCGTTGGTTCGTATCATATGACGCGTGTGAATGAAACCCAAGGCCCGCTCACGAATAATTCACCTGTTCTTGCCCTCCTCCAAGGGTATTCGGCACAATCTGAAGGCCCTGCAGCCATCTCGAAATCTCCAGAAAGTCAATGTTGCAAATCCACTTAACGTTATTAAGGCCTGACCCGTGACCTCCGTACAGGATGGAGCCCACAGCTAAAGGACGGACCGAGAAAAATTTCAGCTACGTTGTCAGAGCCCCCAGCAGCGATGGGTTTGATGTCATGAACGTTGATGTGAAGATCGACACGTCCTGGGTGTTCCAGGACGTAGAAGACAGCGATGGGGAGCAGGAAGCCCGAAGCCCACGCGCGGACCCAGGCACGCTCAGGAAGCAGCTGGAATCCTCGGAGCAGAAGCTGCTGGCCGCCATGGACAAGTACGTGATGTCCGAGTCCGGGCTGAGGAGCAGGTAAGTAGGGCGTGGGGACCTCTTCTTGTGTGTTTAACAAATCCTGGGTCCCGATCGTGCTAGATCGGTGTGTCGGGTGGCTCCTGGGGCTGAGGACTCGGACGCCAGGGGCGGCCCCAGCTCTGGTTCCTCCCCTGTCCCACCCTGTGTTCCGAGTGTTGGGGGGCTGAGCCCACACGGCTCCCCAGGCTCCTGCGCTCGGGCTTTCCTAGGGGCCCAGCCACCCAATGGGGGAGACTGGAGGGAGTGGGAAGGGAGAGGCCAGGGTACTTCCCCCTCTCCTGCTTTGGGTGACATCCCACAGCGACCCAGCCATGCTTTTGGGTCCCTCCTCTGTCCTCCTGACTCCTGGGCCCAGTAACGCCGCCTCCTCCTCCCCGCGTGTCCCTCCATCCACAGGGGCAGGAGTGGCTCCTGGCAGTTGCTCATCTCTGGGTTGCCTCTCCTCTCTGCCTGGCCTTTTAGCTCTTCCGTCATCTTCATAGCAGACTCTCTGCACTTGTTACTCACTGCTGACCTTCCCAGCCAGGGCTCTGTTTTCCTGGTGGAGCCAACGTGGTCCAGAGGTTGGGATGTGAACCCGGGTCCTTCTCAAAGCCCGTGATCTTTCCTGACCGTTATCTAATACCTAGGCCAGCAGAGTGAGGTGGGGCCCTGCGTGCGTATCAGTGGAGAAACCCAGCACGGAAATGCAAGACGGTAGTGGCTGGGGTCCATCCCAACAGGTTTACCACCATCTCAGTAGCCCAGCGTCTTGGATTTATCTGAGACCTCACCATCTTCTTGTATGTTCCTTCATTTTAATAAAGGCAAGTCATTAAATATGTATTTACATGTGCTTTTATCTTCTTTCCTCTTTGTAGAACTTTTTACATGAAGAAATTCACATATCAGAAAAATTGTTTTGTTACTTCTGTGATCATTCATTCATTCACTCATTCATGGCTCTCTCATCCTACACCCTGCACTGGCCCACCCAGAGTCACGGGCTAAGTTGTGTTGGTTTGCTCAGGCTGCTCTAAGAAAGTACCACAGCCTGGGGACTTAATAGAAAGGTACCATCTCACGGTCCTGGAGGCTCACAGTCCAGGACGGTCAAGGACGGGCAGGATTGGTTCCTCCCGAGGCTGCTCTCAGTGGCATGTGGATGGCGTCTTCTCCCGGTGTCCTCACATGGTCTTCCCTCTTTGTGTGCCTGCATCCTGATCCCCTCCTCTTACAAGGACCCCACTCAGATTGGACTCGAGGCAGCCAGATGACCTCACTTTAACTCAACTACCTTTGTAAAGGCCCCGCCTCCAAATAACAGTCACATTCTGAGGTGCTAGAGGTTAGGATTTCAACATAATGAGTTTGAGGGGACACAAATTAGCCCATAACGTAAATCCTGGGGGAGGGACGGGTGGTTGAGAGCCAGCAAAGATAGGGCCCCAGCACTGGAGAGAGCTGCAGTGTAACCCACACATGGTTATGGATTCCAGTCTTTCTCTGGAGAGGTTGGCAGTGAAAACCAGAAAGTCCTTGGGTCCCGGGGGAAATGCTGGGAAACCTCTACCAAAGGAGACCCCTCCATGCAAGGAGAGCCCTGAGGATACCGTGAGTGATGGAGGGGAGGGGGCCTCTGTGGCTGGGGCCCCGGGGTGAGGCCACTCTGGAGGGGGCATCCTGGACCCCCCGTGGGGAAATGTGGGCTGTGACCTCTGTTATTGGGAGGTGGGTCACCCCACCTGTGTGAGGTGGAGCTGAGGTGGAGAAGATGAATGATGTGACCCAGGGTCACTAGTAGCTGAGCAGGGTTTGGATGCGTGATGGGTTAATTTCACCATGGGTGTCATCTCTCTAGGGTATGGTAAAGGTTGGTAGTGTACAATGGCTTTTGCTTTGATGAAAAAATTAAAATTAAAAGTATTTATTATAGGAGTGCCTGGGTGGCTCAGGCGGTTAAATGTCTGACTCTTGGTTTCAGCTCAGGTTGTGATCTCAGGGGCGTGAGATCGAGCCCCACGTGGGGCTCTATGCTCTGCATAGAGTCTGCTTGAGTTTCTCTGTCCCTCTGCTCCTCCTCGCCCCTGCTCTCTCTCTCTCTCTCTCTGCAAGAAATAAATTAAAATCTTTTAAAAAGTATTATAAAAATAATAAACAGTATAGTTAGAAATTTGAGAAAGAAAACTCACTTCCATCCTCATTACCTTATCAATAATGCATATTCACCTGCAACCCGAATGGCACAAAATTATCAGTAGCTATACACTCGTTGAGTATTTATTCTGTTCCAGGCACTGCTTTACATGTCTGTTTAAATTTTCAGATGTATGATCCTTAAAACAATACCAAAAATCAGGTGGTAGCGTTATCCTCAGTTTACAGATGGGGAAATGAAGGCACAGTACGGTTAAGTGACGTCTCCACAGTCACCCACGCATCCAGCCGTATTGGAGGGGGGCTGGAACTTGAACCCAGGTGGCCCGCATAGGGGGGTAATGGCAGCCACCCATATCTCCTGCTGCCCTGGACGGGGGTCTCCAGGTTTCCTAGCACTCTGCAGCACTGCATAGTAGTATTTGTTTAACTGGTCATTAATCCGTGATAAACAGCACCTCATCGTCTGTTTCCTATTTGTGAGCGTGCTAGTGCTAGCTCCTGAGGGCTGCTAGGACAAACTACTGCAGACTTGGAGCCTTAAAGCAACGCATGTACATCGTCTGACAGTGCTGGAGGCCGAAGCCCTAAAGCAACATCCTGGGGCTAAAGCCAAGGCTGTCGGGAGGGCTGTGCCCTCTCCAGAGGCTGTAGGGGAATCTGTTTCCTTGTCTTTTCCAGCAGGGACAGTTGCATTCCTTGGTTCCCCGCCCCTGCCTCCACCTGCAGAGCCAGCAGGGTCACATCTTTCTCCAGGGCTCCCTTGGCCTCCACCTGCTGTCAAATCTCCCTCTGCCTCCCCATCCTAAGGACACCTGTGACAGCAGGCAGGGCCCACCCAGGCGGTCCGGGGCATCTCCCCATCTTCAGGTCTTTAACTAAACCACATCCACAGTCTCTTGCATTTTATGCAACATTCGTGGGTGCCAGGGATTAGAGCCTGGATATATTTGGGGGCCAACATTTGATCTGCCATGACGATTAGTCATTTCTGCTTCAAGTATAAAGATACTGTCAGAATTAAATGTTGTTTCATATTTAGCGCTTGCAGGTTGATCTCAAAAACTGAAAAGAGAGGCTTTCCTTGTCCCTTTCAGATGTCACCATATTTTATAAGCAAGCAGGTGCTCAGCCTGACTCTGACTGATTAACCTGGGGCCACTCCTCGGTTCAGCTTGGAAGGAACTTGATCATAAGGGGCATACTCCCTCAGTCACCTGCACAAGCCTTCCCCAGGGCCTCAGAAGCAGAGCAGGAGAGGGGACTCTTGATTTAATTATTGGTCTTAATGCAACGTTTCATCCAATCTCCACATTAACACTTGGAGCAGAGGCACAACTGCCTCTGTTTCACAGATAAAGAGACTATGGATCGGGGTGGGGAGCCAATGCAGTTAAGCCTCATGGTGGGTCAGTAGCAGAGTCGGGAAGCAGAGCTGGGTCCTCTCCCAGGGAGCCAGAGGGTGTCTTGAAGGATCAGGACACCCTAGTGGGCTTGGGCAGGGGAGTGAAGGTGTGCAGAGCTTGCCCCTGTAGGCTGTGAATGCATTTTCCGTGTGTTTCCTGGTTTTTCATTATAGAGGTAAGACTGGCACATGGAGGGGACTTGGAACCAGGCACAAACAGGAGACAGGCAAGTCTTTGGGGTGGCACCTGTCCCAGTGGGACCAGACTGTTCCTTCAGGCTTCCCTACATTCTTGGGCGAGTCTCCTTTCAATGTAGCTGTGGTCAGGGCTCACTTTGAGCCTCCGTGTTGCTTGCCACGTGATACAAGCTCCTCCACCTTCCCCCAGGATAATAAGAAAAGGCTTCACGTGGCTTAGCCGTCCCTAACTAGTAGGCCGTTTCCACCTTTTCTCTTCTGTAAGTAATACAAAGATTAATGATTTCAGTTGCAGGAACATGTTTTCTGAATTTCATTTTCTTAGAAGAGATTGGAAGGAGTGTAGTTCAAATGGGAGGCAATGGACATAGGGTTAAAAGTCTGAGTTTGGGAGTAAGACCACCTGGGCTCTACAATGCTGTGTGACCTAGGACAAGTTGCCTGGCCTCTCTGATCATCAGTTTTCCTGTGTGTGGAGTAGGCATAAGGGAACTCACCTGCAGGCTGGTAATATGAGGATTGATTGAAACAAGACAGATAAAGCTCTTAGGCCGCGTGGCTCTGGCTCAGCCCTTCTTTGGTGAATTTGGGATTACTGGTTTAGGGATGAAAACACTCTGAAGATTCCTGATGCATGGTGCATTATTACTGGATAGACATTTCTGAAGTGTTCTAAATCATCTTAAATATGTATGAATGTTTCACAAAATGTGATTTGGTCAGAATGTCAATTTGGCCAAATGACCAAAAAAAGAAAAGGTTGGTGTTGGTGAAAATCTTAGGCCACGTTTACTACATCCTGAGTAAGCATCTTCCTGCTTCAATGCTGCAGAATCCAGGAGCTGGAGCTGTCGGAGAGACAACTGCTGCACAAGGTGGACCAGCTGAGCGCCCGTGTGAAGCAGGAACAGAGCGCTGCTGTCCGGGCCCAGGAGAAGCTGCAAGCCCTGCAGGGGGAGTTTGCCAGCCAGGTACAACTTTCCCTCTTCTTTCCAGTACTTGTTTCTTGATCTAGCAGGATGGCCCCCTGTGCTGGGAGGAGGCAGCAGGTGCATTGAGCAAAGACAGTGGTGGGTGGTGGGGATGTTGGGAGAGCCCAGCCAGGGGACTTAGAGGGGTCCTGATTCCAATGGTGCAGGCAGGGGCTGTGAGGTCCAGGGCAAGTTCACATGGTTTCTCTGGGCCTCAGCTGCCCTGTCCATAAAATGTGATCCTCATTCCACCTTGCCCTCCTCACCAGGGTTCTGGCTGGGATCCGCTGGGGGGAATGGGGAGCTGGTGAAGCACTGGGTGACCTGCAGGAGCCATGTAATCACTGGGAGCTTTGGTCAGAGGTTCATTTCTGTGGCTCTTGGACAAGCTGAGGACTGACGTAGGGTCTCTGCTCTCAGGAGCTGGCATGCAGGTGGAAACACGGATAGGAGACATATAACTTCCAAATTCGATGCCAGGTGCCAGGGGAAGGTGCAGGCACAGTGTGTGTCCTTGGAGTCGGTGGGGGGAGGGGGCGCTCCAGACAGCTGAGCCAACTGAGTTGGTCCTTGGAAGAAAAGCACACGAGGTGTGCATAACAGCCTACGTATAGGCACAGGAGTGTGGGGGGACATGTGGGGCCAGAGCAGAAGGTCTGGGTGCAGAGAGGGCATTGGCGAGGGAGGAAGGCTCCAGAGAGGCCAGGTTGCCAGGACCACGGTATGGTCCAAATATTGACTGCAATGAGGAGCAAGCTTTAGGGAACTTTAGCAGGAGAGGCTCAAGACAGGGTTCTGGAGAAATTATTCTAATTGCAGGGGTGGCAGGGGGAGACAGAGAGAAAGAGAGAGAGAAAGAGATGGTAGAGGCAGGAGGACAAGTTAGTGCTCTGGACAAGCAGTGGGTGGTTAAGGAGGTGGACTTGGGAGGCAGACACCTGGTGCCAAACCCTGGCTCTGCCGCTCCCTGGCTGTGTGACCTGGGGCAAGTGATGTAACCTCTCTGGGTCTCGGTTTCCTCATCTGGGAACTGGGAATGATAACAGTACCAACCGTCTTGGGTTGTTATGTGGGCCAAGCGAGTGAGTATGTGTAAAACACTCACAGTGGTAACCGTAAACGACACCAGCTGCTTTTGTAAATATTAGCCTTTATTGCAATATTCCAGGGGCGATGATGAAGGCTGGAGGTAGGGCACACTTCGGGAATACTGCAGAGGCAGAAGTGACAGGCTTCCAGGACAACCGCGTGTGGCTCTCGGAGCCCCCGCCATGCACCGTACAGCCCAGCAGCGACTGTCAAACTGCAGGTGGACTCCCGCTTGTGGTCTGTGTCGCAACCAGCATTTTTAAAAAACCGGAATGAACTAGGAAATAAGAAAGGGCATTATGTGTACAAGGAGTGCTGTTTGGTGAAGCTTCTGTTTCAGCGGTACCTGGCGCATGCAAGGGGGCACGGGGTGGAAGTGTGCTTCTCAGTGTGGGGAGCAGCCAAAACGGCTTGAAAGCCCTGACTGAGGCATGAACTGAGACAGACACGGAAAGATAAGGAGCTCGTTTAAATTGAAATTCATCTTTGAGGCGCCAGGGAGACATGCAAGTGGCATTTCCCCCTCTGCATTGAACGGCAGGGGCAGGAAGTCCAGTTCCGGTCCTCCTCTGCTCCGCTAGCACGTCCTCGTCAGTGTCCCCGGGGGAGCTGTCGCGTGAAATGCAGGGTGGTGTGTGCGATCCCGCCACAAACAATGTGATCTCTCCATGGAAACTACTTCACTCAAGATGTTTTGGGCCATGCCCTGTATCCATGCAGGATTTCCAAAGGGAATTAGCCACTGCCCTACAGTCACCTGTTCCCAGTGCACTGGGGAGACAGAGGATGAGGGTGCGAGCAGGGACAGTGCTGTCAGGGGGCTCAGAGGCACTGCGGGGCCAGCAGTCCTATGGGATACTATGGCCTCTTCTACACACACGTCCTTATTAGCTTGTCATGTGATCTGTATGCCCCTGGGAAGACCTGTCAGGAAACCCCACTTCCAGATGGGGGGCACAGGTTCAGAGCGGTGGGGGTGCTTGCTCAGGGTCCCTCCGTGACCACTTGACCCAGCTACAACCCCGAACCTCCCCCCAGTGATGTCCGCATTTGGGAGCAAGTTTTGTAGGAGCGCACAGATGAGTTTCCTCTGCGCTTTGTACCTGATATATGCCGAAGGGCGGTTTTGCCCTGTCCTTGTCACTGTTCCCAGTTAAGCATTTGCATGCAAAATCACCTCGTTTCTGTAGTGACGTGTCGTCATTCTGAGGGTTGATAGAGGCTGTCCAACCCAGGGGATGGAGCATTGCTGATTACGGGATGATTGGGAGCAGTTTTCTTCCCAGGGAATCAGAGTCCAGCTTCATCTGTTCCACGTCCCCCAAGAACAAGCTGTCAGCCAAAGCCTGCAGAGCCGCCCCCAGCTTCCCTTGTCCACACGTGCTCTGTGCTGTCTTCGGCAAGCTCTCCTGGCCGACAGCAGTGGCCGGCTGCCAGCAGTCACTGGTGGCTGCCAGAGAGCTTAACACGGAGGCAGTGCCACCCGTGTGCTTCAATTCATCCTGGAAATTGGGCCAGGACTCCCGTTTTCGCAGTGGCCCCAGTCTAGCTCACAGCTCCAGGACCGGTGCAGGGAGGGCTAGGCCCAAGAGCAGAGAGTTGTTTCTACACACCTTGAGTCAGATACACAGAAGTTCGAGTCCTGGCCATGGTGACATGTAGCACCGTGATATTGTGTTAGCGGCTTCTGAGGGTCCCAAGGGGATAGTGACAGTACCTAGTGCTTGGAGGTATTCACAATAAGGAACAGCTGCCCAGCTGTGTCTCACGAGCCGGGAGCCAGGGCAGGCCGACTTCTGCAGGGCCAGGCATTACCCCTTTAGCATTAGGGACATGGAGAGATCGGGGAGGTCCTGGGTGGAAATGGGGAAGCTCAAGTGGGTCCGGGCGGCAGCCCTGTACACACTGGTGTGGAGGTACTCAGTATTGGAACCACTGGCGCCGCCCTCTCTGCCTGCAGCAGCTGATGCCCATGCCTACCAGCGCAGTTTCCATCCAGGGCCCCAGGGAGCTCCTGGTGTGCAGGGCTCCTACTGGGGGGCACCGAGGGAGGCACTCCTCCTCTGCAAAATCTGCAGGGACACCAAAAAATCCTCAGTGATGAAATCAGTAATATTGGATGCAATAGTTTAATTTCTAAGACTAATGCACGAGAAAAACAAACAACAAAACCCTGATGCCCCCAATATGGAAGTTTAAGACAAAGACCGTGAGAGCGACGGTGGTTGCCCGCGCCGCGTCCTGACGCCCTGCTCCACCGCCAACCTGCAGGTCCTGGAGAAGGAGCGCGCGGCCCGGCGGCAGCGGTGTCGGCTGCGGCGGCTGCGGGAGCGGCTGCGGCGCCAGGACGAGGCTCTGGGGCGGCAGGCGGAGGCCCTGGAGCGCTGCCGGCGGACGCAGCGGCGCCAGCTGGGCCTGGTGCGCGAGCAGGAGCGCGGCCTGCGGGAGCAGGTGCGGCGGCTGGAGCGGGACGTGCGGCGCCTGTGCCGGGCGGCTGGCCTCCTGCTGGCCGAGCTGGACGCCCCGGCCCCGGCCCCGGGCAGCCCCTGCCCTCCCGGCCCGGCCGGAGCCCGGGGCGTCTCCGGGGAGGCCGCGGAGCTGCGCGCCCTGCAGGCCGAGCGGGAGCGGGAGCGGGAGCGGGAGCGGGCCGAGGCGGCGCGCAGGCTGCGGGAGCAGCGCGACACCGAGCGCAGGCTCCGCGGGCAGCTGGAGGACCTGCGCTGCTGCATCTACGAGCTCAAGCTGTCGGAGATCGGCCTGCAGGGCCAGGTGGAGGACCTCGCCCAGCAAAACCAGAGCCTTCGCCAGGCGCTGGGGGCCCGGGCCCCGGGGGAGAGCGCGCGCAGCCCCGCCGCTGCTGGTCACTGCAGCCCGGTAAGTGGCCTCAAGCCAGGGCACCAATGATGTTGCAGTTCTCCTCTAACTTTATCCTGCAGCCATGTGTATGAGTCACCAGCTCCCTCATTCCCTAGTCTTCCTCTTCATCTACTCACCAACCCCACCAGCCCCATCCATCCATCCTGGTTCCAACAGTCACCCACCCTCCAAAATGCACAGCCTGCACCCACCCGTCCTTCACCTTCACCCACCCGTCCTTCAGCACGGCCACCCCACTACCCATCGGTCCTCCTTCTCATCCACCCATCCGCCTGTCCACCCATGTACCACCCACTTGATTGCACATCCATCCATCAACGTGTCTACCTACCCTCCACCGTCTCATTCATCCTACCACCTGCTTGTCCATCCCTCCATCCAGCGACTCCACAGGGAGCCAACCAGCTACCCTTTATCCCCCATCATCTGTCCCCCCCTGTCCATTCATCTATCCAGCAGTTCATGAATCTGTGTGCCAGATGAGCCCCTTTGGGTGTGCACTATTATGTAACTGCCATGTGCCCGTGAAGTGAAGTCTTCCCAATCCATCCCTTCTTTCCAAAGGTGATGATGCCTCTCCTACCTCCTGCACAGCTCCTGCACAGCCTCTCCCACCTCCTGCACAGCTCCTGCACCACCTGCTAGTGGTGTTAGGTGTGCATCTTCATTTCTCCTCCGTTAGACTGTGAGCTCCTTGAGGGCAGGGTCTGGGTCTGATGTAGCCTCACTCCCGCAGCAGCACACAGAAGGTCCCCGGGACTAGCAGCGGAGAACACAGGATTGGGTCCCTTTCTGGTTCTCTTATTTAGTAGCTGTGTGATCCTGGGCAAGTTTCTTAAGAGCTGCAAACAAGGGCAGATTGGACATTTATTTATTCATTTGACTGACAGAAGAGTAAAAACTTAGTTTAATATATTCCTGTCCTAAAATATATATATATATTCCTGTCCTGTGCTCAGCACCCTCCTGAGAGTTTCCAAAGGCATGGTTTCATTTAATGCTCAGGCAGGCTGTGGGGTGGGTACGACTGGTATCCCCACCCCATGTATAGGGAAACTGAGGCTCAGAGAGGTAATGCATTGATCGATGGTCACACAGCTAGTACGGAGCAGAACTGGAACTTGATCCAGATTTGATGGGAGTCCAAAGGGCTCTGTGTCTCCTGCACCAGCCCTGCCTCCCTGGAAAGAGTTAACTCAGCTCTTTTCAAAAGATGGAGATCCTGCTTCTCTCCACCAGGTCAATTTACATTTAAGGAAAAATCAGTGAGCCACCTTACTCGAAGAAGACTACTTGTTAAACTGACAACAACAACAAACCCAAAGTTTTCTTTGGATAAATCTACTTCAAATTAACTAAAACTTTAAATGCTCTATATTTTCTCTCTGCTTAGATCATTTTAATAATGAGTTTCCCTGTGGCCATTTAAAACAAATTACTACTTCATGCTCTCGTCTCTTTTCTGTGTGTTCTGTTCATTCTTCCTCTGTTATATCCATCAGATAAAAGGAAACCAGTGTACATTTACTATTGGCACCTTATTGTAATTCTGGAAAATAAATCATCTATAGATGGAAATTGTCATTTATTGGGGCTGCCATAACGAAGGACCGTGAGCCGAGTGGTCTAAACAGGAGTTCTGGAACTTGGAAGTCCCAGGTCAAGGTGTGGGCAGGGTTGGTTCCCTCTGAGGCTGTGGGGAGGGTCTGTTCCAGCCCGTCTCCTGGGCCTTCTCGCTGTGTCTTCCCAGCGCCTTCCCTGTCTGCATGTCTATCTCGGCACCCAAACATCCCCTTTTTATAAAGTCATGGATCACCCTAATGGACCTCATCGTAACTAAGTGCTTCCCGATTTCCAAATCAGGTCACATTCTGAGATACTGGAGATTAAGGCTTTAACTTACAAATTCGGGGGCACGCTGTTCAGCCCCTGACATGCGTTCCCCTGGAGGAACAGTGGTGAAGACCTGTGAGGTGTGAGACTGCTGGTTCCTCTTCCTCGATGGCAGGAAGCTTTGCCAGCTTTGTGCGGGTGGATGTCGATGATCCCCAGCACCTACTAGAGCATCTTCGTGCTGGGCTCTGTTTCCCGTGCTCTCTATCACTCGTGTCGTGCACCCACGATCTTCAGAGGGAGGCACTATTTTATCCTCATTTCACGGATGAGGAAGTGGAGGCACAGAGGGGCTCATGACCTGCCCCGGGTTGCAGAGGTACTCAGTGGTGGGGCAGGAGTTGTGCCCCCACGAGCTCCTGCACGCCATGCTCCGCTCCTCCAGCGCAGACTGCTCGGTGGCTTCGTAATCAGTATCTAACGGGCACCCAGTTGGTGCGGATGCTTGGCTTGGGCCTTAGCTCAGTACAGGGGATGCAAAGTGTCCAAGACAGACCCCCACCTGTGCAGGATGACAAATCATCTGAGTGAGGACCGTGGGGCTGAGGGAGGGGCCTGACAGTCTGTGGGGCACTGCTGGTGGTCCTGGCATTTAGGCCAGGGGCTGGACCCAGGGCCACGGGGTGTGACAGTCTGCCAGGCTCTGTCTTACTCTCCAAGGGCAATGGCAACCCCGAAGTGGAGCATATAGGAGTCACAAAGGGCCATCTTGAGAGGAAGAAGTGCTCCTGAGAGGGCCCGCTGGGGAGATGTAAAGTGCCAGCCAGTTACCAGCTTGCAGGGGAGTGTAGCTAAGACCTAACATTTGAGTGCTGGAGCCTATTGATAACAAAACTGCCAGCCCTTCAGGGTCTTGGTGTAGAGTTGTATCAACTTCAGCGGACTGTGGTGGCGCATCTATGAAATTGTAGGCAGAGTTCTGGGGACATTGCATGGGGATGTGACTTCCCAAAGCCAATGACGGTGTGTTTCCAAAGGGGCTGGGACCTGGAGGGCTGAAGAGCTACAGGCAGGTGTTCAGTGCCTTTCTCTGGATAACTGTGGTGACCCCCAAGTGATCTCCTTTTGTAAACCTCCCATCTGCTATTACTCTGGGATCAAGTTCAACCTCCTATGCGTGGCATTCAGGGCCTCTGCTGCTCTAGGCTGGGCTCCCTCCGCTGACCCTGCCCTGGCTACATTGAGCTCCCACAAGCCCCCAAATACTCCAGACTTCTCTGTCCTGCAGCCTTCGCTGTGTCTAGAAACTTCTATTGCCTGCTCCCCTCAGCTACTTAATGCACCCCTGCTACTCTCTCTCCATTGAGTGGGAATGCCGCTTCCTTTAAGACTTTCCTGATCTCATGCCAGCTCGTCCCCTCCTTGTGCCCTGCCTCTGGAGGCCCTAATTCTTACTGTGCAGGGCCTGGCTGGTGTTTGCTCCTTGTCTGAGTCAACCCTAGGCTTTGGCCACATCCAGGAGCTCTGGGTAAGCTAGTGGCTCATTGGATAAGATACCTGGGAAGATATTTACTCCACTCTCCTTGGCAAATGGAAACTTCTAGCAGGAGGGACAGCCTCACAATGGCAGTGCCAGGAGGGAGGCATAGAAATTGGGAAAGTAGGAGCAGTGTCTGGCCCCGCGAAAGCACACATCAGATAGAAAACCATTCCAAGTCATCAGGGAGCCCCGCCCCCAACAACCCACTGTTACCTCTGATGTGCTCTGGGCATCAAAGTGTGAATTATGGTGATGTTAATCATCTCGGGAAGATGTTTTACTCACTTTGTATTTACTTCTCCAAACAGGATCTCCTCAGCTCTGGGAGGTAGCCAGGCAGGGATCCGCAGCCTTATACCCAACCCCACAGTCCAGAGGAGGCACATGACCAGCCTGGGATCTCACACTTGCCAGTTTCCAGAGCAAATCACTTGGGACCCAGGTCCCTGAAGCAACGGGCCACAGCAAGGACAAACCCTGGCCTGGGGAGGTGTTTGGGGAGGAGGTTTCTGCTCAGGGCGTGGGTGAAAGGAAATTTAAAAGGACTGTGGTTTGCAAGACAAGAAAGGCCTATCCGCAGCTGCGTCTGCTTTTTAGGGAGTGTGCCCTGAGTACCTGCCATGCCCCAGGCACTGTGCGGGCACCGGGTCTGGAAAGACGACCCTGCTCGGTGAAAATTTAGAGGGGAGGCAGACACAGGTGCAGACAGTGGAGACGGGGTCTGTAGACTGTGACAGCCGGGGACAGCACAGAGGTTGTGGCCTGGCCTAGAGGGAGGCTTGTGCAGGGAGGTGGGGAGTCACACAATTAAAAATGTCAGTGTCAGGCTGTCACGCCCCAGCAGAGATGGAGCTCGAGGCGACACCAGCCTCAGGAATGCTGGACCCTCCTCTCCTCGAGCCTCTCTGCGCTGGCAGTGCGTGTAGAGCGACCCCTGGTGACGGTTACAAGAATCGTTTCCTCCTTCCACAGTCCTAGGCGGCGCCCACCTTGCTCACTGCCCACATTCACATTCGTGCAAAAGTGCCGATTGCACATTTGGTGCCCTGGCAGCAGCAAGCGAGGGCTTTCAAACACAGGTCGGGAATGCAAATAATAATAATTATTATAATCAATAATAATAATAATAATAATAAAGTGTAACAAAGCCACGAACACACGAGTAATGTAAAAGGAAATAGGAATGGCGAGTGGTCTTGCACAAAGATATCAAGTCTGTTGTTTACATAATAAGACAAATACACGAGGCTTGAGATTCCATTCTATTCTGAAGAGTTGTCAGATATTACAAGCACCTCAGCACTGTGGATAGTTGGTGAAAATTGGAAACAACCTTAATGTTCAATAAGAAGGAGCTGCCTTGGTAAGTGAAGGCTTTCCTCATGTCAGAGGTTATTAGGCGGCTGTGAAACGTAAACCGTTATAGAAGAATTTGTGGGGGGATAATCCTTTGATACCATCAGAGGAGAAATGCATGGAGCAAAAATGGACATTCTGTAGAAACAGACTTTTGGAAGGATTTAAATGTCTCTGTTAGAAGAAAGCCCAGAAGGATATATTCTAACACATGGATCATGTTTGTGTCTGGATAGCTCTGTTTTCTTCTTTCTTTCTTTCTTTCTTTCTTTCTTTCTTTCCTTCTTTTTTTGCTTATTTTTTCAAAATAGTTGCACATGAAAGCTAAAGTCCCGTCCAATTGGGGTTCCCAGCTCCCGTGAGTACCGAGGAACAGGAAGGATTGACCAGACTGAGCAGAGAGGGGCAGGGAGGGGGAGAGAAAGTCAGATCGGATTCAGGACCTGAGCTCTGGTTCTGTGCTCTCATCCCGTGTGCTGTGTGGTCTTGGACAAGTCACTCTCCCACTCTGAGCAGTGATTTTGTCACTTGTGGAATGAAGCTGTGGCGGGGTGGTGGTGGTTAGGGGACAGCATCGTCTTCTAGGAGGCCCCCTCCTCGCCCTCAAGTCACCTCCCGGAGGCAGGGGTGTGTGAGTTTGATCCACGGCGGCGTCCCCGGCCCCAGAGCAGGGCCTGGCACTCAGCTGATGCCTAGGAAGAATTTGTGGGGCCGCCCTGAAGTCAGCTCGGGTGTGGGAAGGAAATCCAAGCAGAATGGACCGTGCAGCAGCGCTGGCGTTCGGCGCTGGCCTCCCGGCTCTGCGTGGCCGGTTCCTTTCTCCTCCTTTCTGCCGCTCTCCTGCTGGCTCCCCCTGGAGTTCCTGTGTGTGTCTTTCTCTGTCTCTTTGTCTCTCTGTCTCTCTCTCTGTCTCTCTCTCGCCTCTTTCCAGCCGTGACCTTCAGCCCCCGCCCACAGCACCCCGTCCTGCTCAGGCAGGAGGCAGGTGGAGAAAGGCAAGAGGTGACTGGTGCCCAGGCGCCCCTGGCTTTCGTTGCTTCGCGCCGAGGTCCTGCATCATGACTGTTAAAAGTCTCTGGGTGGTTCTAAGGTGCAGCCAGGGGTGGGAATCCTGGTTTGTGAGGATGCTGGATGTGCCATGGACCAGCCCACAGACAGCGGGAGGTCCCAAACTCAGAGCGTGAGGGGGAGATGCTTGAGGAGGGAATGGACTTAACGTGGGGGGTGGCCAGGGAAGGCCTTGCTGAGGCTGATCCCAGAGGGGAGCAGGTCGGCTGGGCAGAGGAGCAGAAGGAGAGGCCGGCAGCAGGCTCTGGGGGTGTGGGGCTCTGACACAGGGCAGGAGCTGGGTGCCCTTAAGGAGCAGAATGAGGGTGGGGGTGGCGCTGCTGGGCAGGGGTTTTCTCTTTCTGCGCAGTGGGAAGCACAGAAAGTTGGAGACAAGACAACAGTCTGTTCCTGTTTCTGTTTCAGGGGGATTGCTCTCATGCTGGGGGGCGGTGGAAGGGAGGGGGCAGAGAGAGGTGCAGGCCACCCACACCCTTCCTAGGAAGACGTGCCAGCCAGGCAGAAGGAAGAGCATATGCGGAGGTGCAGAGGCAGGCGAGAACCAGGGTCAGGACGGGCAGGGAGGCTGCTGCCATGAGCAGAAACCAGAGTGAGGAGCATCGGGGGCACCCCTGACAGCTGGTGGATGGTCCTACTGCACCTGACCGCAGCCCTGAACTCATCCTTACAAGGGAGGCCCTGTAGGTGGGAGAGTGCATGCCAGGGGAGGGGGGCTCCCTGGCACCGTGAGCAGGATGTGGGGGGGCGAAGAGGGAGGCCCAGCTGGGAGTCCATGCAGGGCTCTGCTGAGAGCAGGTGAGGACCTGGGGGGCAGTGACAAAGGGACCAGTGTTATCTGTTCACTCGTGCTTCCCCTTCACCTAGAATAGCATCTTACACAGTCGGAGCCTAATAAGTGCTTGCTGAATAGGTGCTGAGCACCCATCGTTCTGCCGGTTCTGACTATATGTATCTATCAAACATTTATTACACACCGACGGTGTGGCAGACTCAGGTGGGGGTGCAGACCAGGTGAAGCCAAGTTGACGGCTCAAAGGACTCGTGGTCTAGTGGGGGAGGCAGCGGGGGAAGCAAATAGCATCCATTCGAACTTGGCTAGAAGTAGCGGGGGGACAGTGGAAAGCTGGAGAGGACTTGTCCCCCCCCTTGTGGACAGGGCGGGCGGTGGGGAGTCAGAGCTGGGCTCTCTCTAAATACTGCCCTGCAGGGTGGGTGCTGGCTCGGGAAGCTCCTCCCTGCACACTCGGCTTGCCTTTTGGGAGAGGCCGAGGGGTGAGGGTGCTGCCCAGGGACACCCAGCTGCAGCATCTGGGACTTGTTGACAGTTGAAGGACGGGTCCGCCCAGAGCCCCTGGGCAGGTGCCTGCCCCTGCTGTGTGGGACGCAGAGGGACCTTTTGCATGGGAAGGAGAGGGGCCTGGGAGACTTTGGTGCTGCTCGGGAGTGGGGGGGGCAGAGGTATCTCGGCTGGACAGACAAGCTCCTCTGCCACACCTGGCTGTCTGCTAGCAGCAGGGGGTTTGGTCCGCGGGACCTGGAGCACAAGGCCAGGGGGGTGGGCCACGTGCCCTCTGCTCTCCTCAGCAGGGGCAGGGACCTGGCTCCCCGCCGGAGTCCCTGGGATGGCCTTGGAGGGACCCCTCCTGCTGTGGGGACACTCACGGCTCTCCTCCTGTGTCTTCCTCAAGGTCACTCTGAGCCGAATCCAGGATGAACCACTGTCCCCGCCCAGGGAGGACCCACCGGATGCTCCCAAAAGGCAAGATCCGCAGGCCACCCTTGGCTCCACCGGCGCCCCTGGACCGAGAGGCTCAGCAGGTTTGTGGGGTGCCTGTAGGGTCGCCCGCTGATGGGCCAAGTCCCCTAGGATGTGCCAGTGTGTCCGGGGGTGGGGGGTTACTGCTCTACAGACAGGAAGCTGAAGCTCAGAGAGGTAGTGTTGCTTGCTTGATGTCACACAGCCAGAAGAGGTGGGATTAGAGTCTGCGATGTCCAGGACAACGTCCTTGACTTAGGCTCAACCAGACATTTAGGCTCACTCCTTCAGCCTTCAGGAGGGGGCCGGCTAGGCAACGCTGGTGCCAGCACAGGGCAGCAAGTGTCTCAGGAGGAGGGGTCTCAGGAGGAGGAGTCTTTGCAGAAGACCATGAAATGACTCTCCTATCGCCAGCCGACCACTTGACAGCTCAGATGTGAGATAGGTGCAAGGTCTGGGAGCTGCTGGGCTAAGGACCCACTTGTCCCCAACTTGTCCCTAATGGGGACCAATGTCTCTGATCACAGTCTCAGACTGGGTTTCTAAATGCCCTGCTGCAAAGCCACTGCACTTGGGGAGCCTCAAAGCCACCATGTCCCACTGTGGTTATTTGCAGTCTTCCAAGGCCAGATGGGGTTACAGATGAGGGGGTTATTTATACCCAGGGGTGCCACTGACCCACACAGCTGCCATCCCCTTCATTCCTTTTCTGGGGAGCAGAGCTGGCAAATCAATGGTCAAATTTGTCCTCAGAGAAGGAGGGGCCTGTCTGGTGGTGAAGCCAAGGCCCGGCTCCTTTATCTGCACGCCAGCCTTGTGGGGTTGGGAGCAGGGGATTATGACCCTGTGTGACCATGAGGGTGCCCGGGTTGATGGAGGTATCATGGGTTTTGTCACCTGCATGAGCTTCGTGGTCAGCCAACGTGGCTTCCAGACCCAATCTGCTGCTTGTCAGCAGACAGTCATTCACATCTCCAAGCCTTGGTTTCCTTCCCTGGCAGGTAGTGGTGATCATCAGGCCACCTCTGGCTCAAAGGACTTGAGTCAGTGAGCAGCGCCAGGTCATCCCAAGAGCAGGTGGCTTAGTCGCTAGTGGCAGTTGTGACAAAACTGCTAGGAGGGTCTCTTTAACTGTGGGGTCCTCTTGCCTCCCAGGCCAGCCCTCTGAGGGGCGCTGCTCCTGGGGCTGCATTGGAGCAGGACAAGGCCCTTTGGTTGTGGTGCCAGGCCTGGAGACCAGAGACGGGTCCCTGGAAGACATCACAGGATCTGACCGTGGACAGGTGAGGCCAGAGGCTTTCTGCATGCCCAGGATGCCGGCCAGGTCTGATCAGCCCTACTGCGTGTGGAAGGTGGGAGAAGGGACTGCAGAAGTGTTTGGAAGGACATTCTGGAAATAACTGAGAAGGAGACTTGGGAAGACTGAATGTAACACCCTGAGACCTAGGTGGGGAGTGGGCAGGTGGGGAGCCCACAACCGTGTGTCCAGGCCCAGTTGTCCCATCACATATCTGTGCACACACAGATATGCAGAGGATATGAGAGGAGGGTGGGGGCACAGTAAAGGGGATACAATCAGTGCAGTGACATGGTCAGGGGGCTTCTTGAGGAAGTAATATCTGAGCGGAGATGTGAATGGATGGGGAGTGAGCCATGAAGGGATCTGGGGAAGGATGTTCTGGGTAGAGGGAAGAGCAAGTGCAAAGGCCCTGGGGTAGTATCAGGCTCAGCATGTTGAGGAGGCCTATATGGCTGGGTGAGGGAGCATCAGGAGATGAGGTCAGAGAGGTGTGGGGGGCTAAGTGGAGGAAGGGGCTGCTTCATATCTTCTCTTCTGTTCGCGTCCTTAGCCGATTCCGTCTGAACCCAGCATGGATGAACAGGCTCTCCTCCTCGTCTGCGGCTGCCCCTCCGGACAGTACAGGGACAGCTCACTCCTTCCCGTGGAGCTGGCCTGGATTTCAGAGCAGAGGCTAGCAGCCGCCCAGGCCCAGGGATCCTTTCTCCTGGTGCAGACGTCCACACTCCCTCCCTGGGGGCCAGCTGGGGACCCCCCTTCCCTGCCGCCGCCACTGCTGCTCCAAGAGACTTCGCCACAAGAATCCCAAATGGAGCAGGTGCTGGATGCCAGGCCGTCGCCTGCTCCCAGAGCCTCAGGACAACCCGGTCAAGATCGTCACTGGGAAAAGAGCCACAAAGCCTCGCTCTGCCAGGAGTCCCCAGAGACTTCAAGTCAGCGATTTCCCAGGAGAGGGCCCAGAGATCTAAAAGACCCTTGGAAGGAGGGAGGAGGACCAGAGTGGAGAACTGAGGAGCAGGGGGTGAGGAAGGCTGCGGGCAGGAAGGAGGAAGACCTTGGTGGCAAGAGTAAGCTAAGTCAGGAAAGCAGAGAAAACCCGAGCTTGTGGGCTGGCGTTGGAGCCCCAGAGGGCGTGCTGATCGAGAACGGGGCTTTAGAAACCCAGGCCTCTGCCTCCTGCCCCGGGCCCGGCCCACAGTCCCCACTGCCTCTTCTGCAGCAGGAGGCCTCAATGTCAACCGAGGGACCCACAGCCCTGAGTGGGAGGGGGAGGGAGGGAGGGCTTTCATCAGAGGAGGAGGAGAAGGAGAAAGAGCACCCCACAGCCAGGGCCCTCGGTGCCCAGAGGCCGTCTCCAGCAGGTGCTCAGCTCCTTGCAGGGCCAGCCAAGGAAGAAACTCTTGTGTGGTCTGGAAATGCTCTGCATCTGCAAGAGGAAAGCCCTGGGGATGAAGGGCAAAAAGAGAAGGAGGAGGAGGCATGGCCTCTAGAAGGGTCCAGTCTGGGCCACAGCGACATCCTGGAGGAGCCTGGTCCCATGGAATGTGCAGGCCGCGATACACTCTTCCCAGCGGCAGAGGGAGGTCTGACACTGTCCCCCAGATTGGCCTTTTCACCCAAGGGGACCGAGCCCATCAGTAGCCCGTGGGTGCTGAGCAAAGGATCTGGCGGTTCTGAGCTCAGAATAGATGAATTTGAAAAGGAGATGGAAGCTTGTTTCCAGCAACTCTCCATCCTGGAGCTTGGGGGCGGGGGACGGTGGCAGCAAGCCTCCAGGCTGGCAGGAGAGAGCAGGAGCGTGGCTCTGAAATGGCACAGCTGCCAGGGGAACGCTTACTCCTGGCAGGGTTTGGGCAACCAGGGCTTGGAGATGTGTTTGGCCAGGGAAGTCAAACCCGGGGAGACTAGAGCAGGGGGTAGACCAGGAGAGATGGAGGCTGTGGGAGCCAGCGCGGGCCTTCCAGGGATGGTGACCGATTTGGATCACATGAGTCCGGGCCCAGAGTGGCCCTCAGAGCTGGGCCAGAACCAGGCACCGAGAGCCTTTGAGAGACAGAGGAGGAGGTTTCATCAGCTCATTTCTGGACTGAAGATAGAGAGAAGCCAATTTTTACATGACAACGCTGAGCTTCGGGCTGACCGAGAGAGATGCCATAGAAAACTGTGCATCCTCGAAAAAGAGAGGGACAGGAATGTGACAAGGATAGCCACACTCGAACGGGAAAACAGCATGCTGTTAGGGGACATCACTGACTTTAAGGGGGAGCTGGACCAAAGTTGGCAGGTCATCTCTGACCTGGAAGACTGCAATGCAAAAAGTTACGGCAAGATTTCTGAGCTCGAAGAGGAGAACGAGAAGCTGAAAGGGCACCTGGCCCAGCTCCAGAAAGCCGCACTGGAGAGCGTCAGAAAATCCAAAGGTGTGATGGAGCACGTCACGCTGGAAAACCGGGAGCTCAAGGCGCTGATCTCGGAGCTCGGGGTCAGCCACGAGGAGCTGATGAAGGGCGTGGTGCTGGGGATAGAAGACTCGGTCCGGGCCTTCAGGGGGGAACATGCCCACCTTCTGCGCAGGGTCTGCGTCCTGGAGACGGAGGTCATGTTGGGGGCGAGCACAGCCGTGGGTCGCTCAGTAGGAGCAGAGGAGGGTCTGCAGGGGGAAGGCAAGATGCCCGGGGACAAGGGGAACGCTGTGGACAGGGGGGTGCAGGTGACTCCACTTTCCGGGCAATTGACTACAAGAGCCCACGGGCCGCCCTCGGTGGCGAAATCAGGTGTGGCCGGCCGGTGGATGGGGCCTGCCTTAGGCACGGAGAATTCCAGATACGATGCCAATTCTGCAGCTCCGTCATTGGCCTGGGGAAGCGCCGAAGTGTCCCCACACGGAAGCATCAGTGGAGCAGGAGCAAAGGAAGCACATTTGGGAGAGGAGGAGAAGAGACCACGGTGCCCTACAGACCCAGGGCGAGCTCCGAGGGCCCTGAGCCATGGCCCCCAGGTAGGCTCATCACACAGAGCGGCTTACGCGCCATCTCGCTAGCTTTCTAGAGTGCTGACCACCCGCTTTCCTCCTTCCTCCGGCAGCCCTCAGAGGAGGTCCGTCATCATCCCCACTAAGTAAGAGGCAGTCATGTGGCAGGAGGGAGGGGGCTGGCACGGCCACCTGGGCTGTCCCTTCCTGCCCACAACCTGAGATGCAAACCTGCCCCTCCTCTTAGCCTGTTCCCATGGGTATCAGGTGGGACTGCGGTCCGGGTGGTGTTGATGCTGCAAGATCAGAGCTCGTGTTTTCAGATCCAGGGGTTTATCAAGCAGTCCAGGTCCTAATTCTGCGCATTGCATCTCTCTCTCTCTCTCTCTCTCTCTCTCTCCACCCCCTTTGAAAGATATTACTGACATATAACATTGTATAAGCCTAAGGTGTACCACGTGTTGACTTGGCACGTTTATGTATTTCAATATGATGACACCGTAGGTTGGCCAACACCTCAATTAAACTCCACATTGGGTCTCAAAAGGGACAATGAAAGGAGCAAGGACCATAGGATGTAATTGGAGGTCAAAGCCAGCTCTGCACTTAGCACATCTGTGATTTGGCCAAGACACAGGGTTTCCTGCGTCACTGTCACACGTGTGGAGGGTACCCGATGTTCAGGAATCCCAGGATGAAATGTTCGTGATATTCTCACGGGGTCTTGCATGTCTGAAAGACATTTAGTGTGGAGTCCTTTGTATCCACTCATGTTCATTCTTTCCCTCTCCCCGTAGCAATTTTATCAATCGCTTCAGAGGATCTCTTTGGGTTTTGTCAATTTTCCTCATTGTATGTCTGTATTTTATTTCCCTGGATTCTGTTTATACCTTGATTGTTCGATTTCTTTCACTCACTTTTTGGTTGGCTGTCCTTTTTTCTTGCTTCTCGCGTTGGAAGCTTAAATCATTGATGTTGAGCTGTTCTTCTGTGATCTGTGCGCTCCCATCTACGCATTTCTCTCTGAGCACGGTTTCAACTACGTCCCGCACATTTTGATGTGTTGTGCTTTTATGTCCGTTCACTTCAAAGGACTTTCCAGTTTCCATTTGTGTGTCTCTCCTTGCCCATGGGTTATGTGGAAGTGTGTTGCTGAATTTCCAAGCACCTGCCAAATTTTGTAGTTCTAGTTTTGTTTCTGATTTGTAGTTTTATTTCATTGTTGTCAGAAAACGTATACTATGCTATTTTGATTTTTTTAGATGTGAGATTTGTTCTATTGACCAGGTTATGGTCTATTTGGGTAAATATCCTGCAGGTCCTTGTGAAAAATAAATAGTTGGCCGTTGTTGAGTATGGGGATTGGGCCAAGCTGGTTAATTGTGCCGATCATCTTCTGTATCTTTACCAACAGGCCATCTATTCACATTGTTCTTTACCCAGATTATGTTTACAATCTCTTGAGTGTGCATTTGTGTATTTCTTTTTTGGTTATGTTACTTTTGATTCATGTATCTGGAAGTTATTTATGAGGCACATGCAGACTTACAATTATGTTTTACTGACTTGACTCTTTGATCGTGATGAAATGTCCCTCATTACCTCTCACGCTTCTTGCCCAAATTGCACTTTGTCTGATATTGAAGGGATCACACCAGTTTTGTTCCCTTTGTGTTTTCATGGAATCCAACTTCTTTTATACCATCTACCCTTTTGCGTTCAACTTATGGGCATCTTTATATTGAAAGTGTGTTTCTTTGAAACAGCATGTGGTTGGTTTACTTGGCTGAATTTTACAACCTCTGCTTTGCAGTTGAGGTGTTTGGTTCACGTACATTTTGTACGCGTGATGATAGAATTAAGTGTTTGTCTCCCTTCGTACTATATGTTTTCTTTGTTCTGTTCTATTTCTCCTTTCTTACCTTTGTTTTTGGTATAAATAAATATTTTCTATTATTCCTTTTTCTGCTCCATTAGCTCATTCTGCTATACATTTTAGTATCATTCCCTCAGTGCTTACCCTAGAGATTTCAAAATGTACCTATTAATTATTTAAATGTACATTAAATTAGTGCTTTTACCATGTAATATGGAAATTCCAAATACATTAATAATTATTAATAAATAATGCAAAAATTTTAATAGTTTATCCTCACTCTTTCTTCTTTTCCTCATTTTTGTCATACATATTACATCTATATATGATAAACTTCATAAGGCATTGTTACTATTGTTATTCCAAACAAGCAATGATCTTCTGCATTTATCCAGATCTCCTCATGCTCCTGAGCTGTGCATTCTTGCTCCCACCCCTGGGGATCTGTTTTCCTTCTGCCTAAAGAGCTTTGCCATTTCTCATAGTAAGGATCTGCTGGTGATGAATTCTCTCATATTTCTTTTTATGAAAACAAACTTCAACTTCTATTTTTAAGAGATTTTTTTCCCCTAGCTAGATTCAGAATTTTAGGTAGGCAGGTATTTCCCCCTCTTTTGGCACTTTGCAGATCTCATTGCGTTTACCTTCTGGCTCCCATAGTTTCTGTTCAAAATTGGTTGTTTTTATCATGATTTTTTTGTTTGGTTTTGTTTTCATGAAATAAGTATGTTATTTTATCTCTGACTGCTTTTAAGATTTCCTTGTTATCTTTGGTTTTTGGCAATTTGACTGTGATGTGCCTGGTGTGATTTTATTTGTATTGATCCTGCTTGGATTTTTCTGAGCTTCTTAAAATTGTATATTCAAGTCTTGTATCATATTTGGAGAATTTTTTGTCATTATTTATTCAGATATTTTGTTCTGTCCTATTTTTCTCTTGTTTCCTAGAATCTAGACTTTTTGATCATAAAAAAAGTGCATTAGTTTTTCATCTTTGTGCATTAGTTTGAATTGTCTATCAACCTGTTGTTTAGTTCACTTCTGTTCTGTTGTCTTATCTGCTGATAATTCCATCCAATGAGTTCTGAATTTCATTTGTTATCTTTTGTGACTCTAGAATATCCATTTTTATCCTTTCTAAGAGATTCAGATTCTTTACTGAAATACTCTGTCTTTTCACTCACTTTGTCGATCTTTCCTATATTTTTAAAAATATATAATCAGAGTTATTTTGAAGGTCTTGTCTGCTAATGCCAATATCTGTATTATCCCTGGGTCTGTTTTTATTGGCTGTTTTATTTCTTGGTTAAGTCCCATTTTCCAGCTTCTTCACATGTCCAGTAATTAAAAAAAAATTCTATGTTGGACATCATGTAGATATGTTGCAGAGACTCCTGGTTATTATCTTCACCAGAGAATGCTGAGTGCCTTTTGTTCTGGCAGGTAGTGGAATAATCAGCAGATGGTGTCATTCCTGTGCAGGGATATGTTAGTTTTGGCCTAGTCCTAGAGTCTGATTTTCCTCCTAAAGTGTGGACCTTGCTTCCAGGGCATGACCTTTCCATGACAGCGGCTCACTCCCCTGAGCATTCACTGAGGACACCCAATTTGGGCTCAGCCAGAAATCTGCCATCTTGGCAGCAGTGGGTGACCTCTGAAGTCTCTTCAGCAATAGGCAGGCCAGCTTCTCTTCGCTTAGGACTCTGAGTCCTGCACTGTGCTGCCCAGCTTAGGACTCAGCCAAGGACCCAAGGGGGCATTTCTAGGGCAGTACCTGGCTCTCTCCTTTCTGTTATTTTGTTCCACAGACCCAGATATCAGAGCACCTCTGAATTCCAGCCTTTGAGTACCCCATCTAGCAGGAACACCACTCTCAGCTTGGGTTCCACTTCTGACCCATGGTTTGGAAAAATGCTCCAGAGAGAAATCGAGGAAGGGTGTGGAGCTCAACTTGATGTGCATTCTTTTCCTCAAGGACTGTGGCCCTGCCTTGGCTGCCATTCAGTGTTTGCAAAGAATTGTGCATTTCTCCATATTTTATTGTTGTCCGATCTCAGCTAGTCAGACCTAGTAGAAACTGGACTCTGAGGAGAGGAATACTGAGCTGAGCATTTCAAGGTGGGAAGGGGATGGTGGATGAAGAGCTTTTCAGGCAGAGAGGGAAGCACATGGCCAGGTCCTGAGCCTGGTTTGTTGGAAAAATAGAAAGTAGCCAGTGTGTTGGGATCACATGGGCAAGGGTAGGGTATGTTGTGAGATGAGGTAGGGCTCAGATGGCCTGTAGGTCCCAGTTATGACCCCATCTAAATGCAGCAAGGGGGCTTTTAAATAGGAGAACAACATGGTTCAATTTCTTTTGTAAAAAGATCACTGTCTCCTGTGAGGAAAAGGGCTGGAGGGGGGTGCAGAGGAACAGTCAAAACAACTTTATAGTCAAGGGATGATGCCAAGGGATGAAGCCAAAGTGGAGGAATTTGGAACTAAAAGAAGGGAGGATTCCAGATAAAAACCAGGGTTCAAAGAAATGAGGTTTGTTGATGACAGGAGGCAGAAACAAGAAAGCTTCCCCTTTCCATCATCCCAAGTCACAAACTTGATCATGTTGCTATTTTACTTAAAATCCGTCTGTCTCTTCCTCTTGTACATGATGTGAAATCCATCCCAATTCCGTCTGGTGAATTCTAATCCAGGCCCAGGGAGCCTTAGCTATTGCTGTTTACGTCCCACCCTCCTCCACCCATCGGCATCCTTGCTCTGCTCCCCCTCTACCCCAGTGTTCTCCTGGGAACTGCAGCTCATCCTTGGGGTCTCCTTTTGCAGGGCAGCTCCTCCCAGTCTTGCTGGATGGGCTCAGTGCAGAGATGTGACGCCATTTCCATAGCTTGTCATTGATCATGGTGGGAACATTTACACCATGGGAATCAGCAAATGGTACAGATTCTGGTGCCCATCCACCAGCCCAGAGAGCAGTTGTGATACATTTGCCACCCACCACCCCCATGGCCATGGATGCCTGGTTTAGCGCCTTCCAGCTTCCCCTCACCATGCTGTGCCGTGCTGCCTATTTCTCTGTCAATGTTCCCCACCAGATAGAATTCCCTGAGGTCCATATGCACCATGTCTCTCAGCCCAGGTGGAGCGTGTGGCCAGAGCCTGTGCCAATCATGCATGTTTGGGAGCAAGTGGATTATGGGGCCATTCACAAGACCATTGGGTGGTCCCATGAGGCAGGCAGGGCTGGCCCTCATCCCATATGTTCATTCTCTTTAGAAATGTACTGGGGGTACTCTCGTAGGATATTTGGGGCGAACTCTTCATCTAAGTCACTGGGGAGGGGATGCAGTGAAGACACCAAACTTCCCAGAAAGGCCAACTTGTTTTGCAAGTCTTAGAGCTGGATTTCATGAAACCATCCGGAGCACCCATCTGTTCTTGACAGCGCCCGGCCTGTGTATCTCAGGCCCACGCTCTGTGAATTTCTATTAATTAGAAGAAAGCCACATTCTGCTCTCGGATTTCTTTACTAACGAGGAGGAGGCCTCTTCAGCCGCGAACCACGTTGATTCTGTCCTTACACCATCCTCTCTCTCCTCTCCCAGCAGAATGGCTCAGGCCCTGCCTCCCAGCTCACACCCAGGCCAAGAGCATGAGCAGAGATGACCTTCACAGGCCTCAAATTCCCAAGCAGCTGCTTTAAATGAAGGGTGGTTTGCCATAGCAGAGGAAGGGAATCTGAGAAGCCTCTGAGCTTCTGGGCTCCGGCAAACCAGAGCCCAGAGCCTGAGCATTAGCAGTACTGCTCCTTTGTAGGCCACCTTAGCATATGAATTGGTTGTTTAATGATTCTCAGGCCCTGGCTGCAGAAACTCCCCCTCTGCTAATCTCAGGGAAGAACTCAGAGGTCTGTCCGGGAGTTCTGTGGAAGGGTGTTTATGACAGCCCCAATTACAGCAGCGAAGTTTTAGAATGACCTGAGCATTCAGCATGCCACAGAATGCTCCATGTATGCTAACAACGGTGTTTTCAACATTATTTTGCAATATGGAAAAATGTTCCTGACATGGTATTAAGGGATAAAAACTGGATACCAAAGATATAAACTATATGTTAAATGTTATATAGAGAAAATACATGTGTGTATGTATGTGTATATATGCACGCCTGTGTGCAAGTGTGTATAGAAGTTATTAAAAAATAGAACTTTAGAATACAGAACCACTGGGGGCAGTAACATCACTCCTATTTAACCACCCCTCCCGAAGTGCCAAATCACTTCTTCCCATCTTTCCGCCTCCCGGAAATTCCCCATGACATTCATATGAAACCCACTCATGTCTGACCCAAAAAGAGTGAGTGACTATTTTTAACTGATTTAAGAAAAATGCTCAGGGGAAAATGCAATATCTTCTGTTTTATATAAACAGATCATGCTTTAATGTAATAAGCATCTCATAATTGGATTTGAACCTTAAGTTCCATTCATTCTACTTTTTTTAGCAGAATGGTGACCGAAATCTATTGAAACAGATTCTAGAATGCCATGCCATTTTGCATATTTTTGAAAATATGTGCCAAAGATATATATATATCTGAATACATATATATATTTCATATATATATATGAAAATCACATTCTAGACTGTTATTCTATGATTCCCCAGACCCTCCCCAACACCAACACACTCAAAAAAGCCAACATGGGCCACATGCTCACACGTGCCCATACATAAGGGCACAGCAAAGAGACTGGAAAAAACATACGGATAATAACAACAATTATTCTGGCTACTAGGATTTGGGGTGACTTATTTCTGTGACTTTATTTTCTAGAATTTTTGACTTGAGAAAAAATGTAAGGTAAAAAAAATTAAGAAGGAAAATGGGTCCTCTGGTTTGCTAAGGCAAATTACTTGCAAAATAAGGTAACCTAAGCGTTTCATTTCAATTGGTGATTTCCACAGCTGCAGGACCTGGAGGCGGACACCCCCAGGGAGGACCTGAGGCTGCAAGTCCAGCAGCTCCGGCACCAGGGGCTGACCCTGCAATGTCAGCTCAGAGACCTGACGTCAGCCTACCGGGAAGCCACCTGCCTCCGGGACCAGCTCAAGAGCGAGGTAGGCTGGAGCCACACTTCCTTTCCCGCCTAATGAAATGTTCCCACGCTCCAGGGAGTTGTGGGAATGGAAAAAAGAATCAGGCAAGCTCTCACCATTCCCTGTGATTTGGTAGTATTTATTAGATTTCCAGAGTAAAGAGCAGTATGGGGAAAGAAGGGAGGCTTGTAATCCCTCCCCTCAGCTAAATTCTCTTCCATCTGAAGCTAGGAATACATGTGGTTTTCTAGAAAGTCTAACTAGTTTTCAAATGTTACATAAATAAAAGTCCTTCCTCTGTAGGAGTGAAGTGAGTGTGATTTTATCAAAGGGCAGAAAGATCCTTGTAGATTTGAGAAAGTGTCCATTACCTTATCTGTGATGATGGAGACGTGAACTTTCGTGGGTGATAAAATTGCACAGAACATAGTGAACACACTAAGAGTAGAACTAGAGATATCTGAGTAAGGTTGGTAGATTGTATCAATAAAATTGATATTATAGAGTTGTAATATACTATAGTTTTGCAAAATGTTCCCCTTGGGGGAAACAGGGCAAAGGATACAAGGGATTTCTTTGTGTCTTTTCTTACAACTACATGTAGATCTATAACTATCTCATTTTTTAAAATGCAAAAAAAAAAAAAAAAGAATAATAATCCCTTCTCCCTTTGACCCCAACCCCTTCTGAGCTCCAGCATTTTTTTCAACCCTATCTACTCGCATTCAGTGTATCTGTGGATGTGTATGCAGATTTGAAGTTATACCATACAAAAATATTCTGCATCTTGATTTTCTCATTTAAAAATATATTTTTTTTAAGATTTTATTTATTCAGGACACCTGGGTGGCTCAGTGGTTGAGCATCTGCCTTTGACTCAGGTCGTTAACCCTGGGGGCCTGGGATCAAGTTCCTCATTGGGCTCCCCGCAGGGAGCCTGCCTGTGTCTCTGCCTGTGTCTCTGCCTCTCTCTCTGTGTCTCTCATGAACATAAAAAAACCAAAGATTTTATTTATTCATTTAAGAGAGAGAGAAAGAGCTAGAGAGAACATAAGTGGAGAGAAGGAGAAACAAGTTCTCTGCAAGCAGGGAACCACATGCAGGACTCAATCCCTAGACCCTGGGATCATGACCTGAGCCAAAGGCAGACACTTCACCAACTGAGCCACTGAAGGACCCCGTTGATTTTCTCATTTAACAGAAAATCTGTTTCCATATCAACACATACAAACTGACCTCATTTTTAAAAAATCTTCCTATTATTTTTTCATAAGGCCAAAACATAACTTACTTAATCAGTTCTTTGTGAAAATCCAAATTGTTTCTGTTTCTTTCTCTCTCTCTTTTTAAAAGATTTTATTTACTTATTTATTCATGAGAGAGAGAGAGAGAGGCAGAGACCTAGGCAGAGGGAGAAGCAGGCTCCATGCAGGGAGCCCCGTGTGGGACTCGATCCAGGATCCTGGGATCACACCCTAAGCCAAAGGCAGATGCTCAATGGCCAAGCCACCCAGACATCCCTTTTATTTATTTTTTTTTAAAGATTATTGCTTCTGTTTCTTTGCTTTATAAACAAAGCTTAATGAACATTTCTATGTCTCTGTATTGGGATATGTTTCTGCTACATAGTCAAAGGGTAAAATTCTAGAAAATAATTACTGGGTCAAAGGATATGTGTGTAATTAACTTTGATACATAACGGCAAATAACCCTCCAGAATGGCTGCATCATTTATGCTTCCTCCGGGAATAAATGAGTGTACATGTTTGCCTGTGCTTGTTACCCTGAATGTTATCACATTTTACATGTTTTTGACAAGCTGATGGATGAAAACTACACCACCAACATTGTGATGTAATCTCTGGCTCCTTTCCCGTGCATTCTTTGTATAATCAGATGCACTTTACTTAAGAGTTTCATGTCTGTGTTGCTTTCTAGACTTTGTGCCCAGTATTTTTTTGCCTATATGGTAATCTTTTAAGTGGATATGGTTTTCATTCACCTGTTGTTGGATCTGGGGTCATTTCCATTAATTTATATATTATTTTTTATGGGATTACTGATCCAGAGTGGATTCTGAATACATATTGCAGAGTGCCTTCCCAGTGCTGGCACCCACTTCCAAAGCCCAGGCAGTGAACAGGGAATGTTCCTCACCATGCCCTCAGCCAGCAAGGGGGCTGTTAGGACTTTTTTCTCCTGTCTGTCACTGATTTGTGAAAAATATAACTCCAGTTGCACATGTTAGGGCTTTTTAACCATACCCAATATCTTCTGAAATCTGTTTTTCGTTATTTTCAATGTTTTTTCTTTCTTTCTGTTCTTCAGTTTGGATATTTCTTTCTAACCCATCTTCCAGTTAATACTCTCCAGGGGAGTCAGATTTACTTATAAACTCATTGTTTTTGTTCTTGATTCCAGGTAATGTATTTTGCAGTCCTAGAATTTCCACTTGGCTCTTTTTTAAAGAGAATTTATTTACTTATTAGAGAGAGAGAGAGCAAGAGAAAGAGAAAGAACACACACACAAGTAGGGGCAGGGACAAAGGGAGAGGGAGAAGCAGGCTCCCCGCTGAGCAGAGAGCCCCATGCAGGGCCTTATCCCAGGACCCCAGATCACGATCTGAGCCAAAGGTAGATCCTTCACTGACTGAGCCATGAGCCACCCACGCATCCCTCCATTTGGTTCCTTTTTCATTTTCATTTTATTTTACCTTTTTTTTTTTTTTTTTGTAGATTGAGAGCAAGTGAGAACATAAGTTGGGGAGGAGTGAAGCAGAGGGAGAGAGAGAGAATCTCAAGCAGACTCCTTGCTGACATGGAGCCCAACGTGGGGCTCAGTCTCACAACCCTAACATCATGACCTGAGCCAAAATCAAGAGTCAGACACTTAACCAACTGAGCCAGCGAGGCAATTCCCACCACTTGCCATTTGGTTCTTTTTTTATAGGTTTCCATTCTCTGATGAAATTCTTGTAATATAATGAGGGAGCATATCAACCATAGTTACATGAAGGCCGGTCTCCGATAGCTCCGTTCTCCATTCCCACAGGCTTGGACAGAGGCCCCAACCTCTCCATGAGCTTGCCAACATCCACTACCGACTAGAGATAACCATCTCAGTGAACATGAAGTTGGGAGCTCTGTGGGGTTTGGTTTGCTTTTCCCTGGTGGCTGATGGTATTGAGCATCTTTTCCTGTGCTTACTGGCCATTTATCTATCTTCCTTTGGAGAAATGACCATTCATTTCTTTGTCCATTTGCAACTGGGTGGTTTATTTCTTTGTTTTCAAGAGGGAAGAGTCTATATGCATTCTAGATACGAATCCCATATTAGATATGTGGTTGCCAAATATTTTCTCCCATCTGTTGTCTTTTCACGTTCTCCTCATTCACTTTTTCATTGCAAATGCCCCGGCACTCAGGGCGTAGCAACACATTCGTGCTGTTTCCTAAACCGAAGCAGAGAGAAGTTTGAATCCAAGCCTGCAAATATTATTGAGTGCCTTTTGAATAGAAGACAGTCTGCTTGGAGCTGGCATTTTACACTTTGAATACATTCAGAAAGGTATGCCAAAATAGCTGTATAGGAATGTGCGTCGAAGCCTTGTTCGGAAAGCAAAGAAACAATATACATTTTCGTAAAGAATCAGTGAAACATTATATTTCAGCCTCCTGCTGAAATATACAAGATTTTAAAAGGACGTGATCAGTTTATATGTATTGGCATAGAAACAACACCACGATTGTAAATTTAATGACAAAACCAAGATGTAAAAACATTCAAATAGTGCAGTTTCGTCTGTGTGTAAACATGTGTAGGCTTTCGATTGTGAAGATGTAGGGTGAAACCTGTGTTAGAGATCAGAAGAGATGGGGAGGAGGAAGGAGGATTTTTGTTGGTGTAGCTTTCTTGTACTGATGACAGGGGAAATGAGAGTGAAGGAGAAGTATTCCTAGAACGGCCGCCTTATTCTAGGGTCAGCAATTCAGGCAGGACTGGGCTGGGGAGCCGCGCTCCACAAAGCATCACGGGGTGACTCGCTGGTGTTGAGCTGCGTGTGGGGCTCGGCTGGAAGGTCCAGGGTGGCTTTACTCACATGCACATGCCTGGTGCCTCTGCCAGATAGCAACAAGGGTTCACATTCGAGGAGCGTTAACTGGACCTTCCCAGCACTTTATAGGAAAACAATTCACAGAGTCCTCGCTATAATCCTCTGCTAACTGGGTGGACACTAATATTACCCCCACTTTGCAGATGAGAAGACTGAGGCAGAAAGAGAAGTGATTTGCACAAGGTCAAGTTCTAGTGAGTGGCTGAGCCAGGGTTAGGAGCCAGGGTGTCTGGCTCGGATTCCCCAGAGGTTTAACACAGCACTTAAAAAAACTCCACAGGAAAAAAAAAAAAACAACACAAAAAACTCCTCAGGGGGGTCCTTCCTGAGGCAAGAGGCAAGAGAGCAGGCCCCACAGCTGCAGTCCGGCAGCTCATTCTTTGTGCTCAGAGCATCCTTCCTCCCCTGGTGTTGCTCAGCCAGTGATGGGGAAGGCCTCTGTTCCCCCCTGAGCACCTCCTGTGGGAAAAGGGCCCTGGAGCCAACGCCTCCGAGCCCACTGGCCTGGGGAGGCGCTGGCTGTGACCGGGGCTGTGACCGGGGGCCCAGCTTTGTCAGACACGTTGGTTCTCTTTCAGCTGCATGAACTTCGGAAAAAGCAACACGAGGCAAATTTCGCTGTGGCTCCTTTGAAGGTAACGTGTCCGTGAGATCAATGTGAAATGTCTCTTTCGAACAACTAGAGCTCGCGTTTTCCCTATTCTACACGTAGTCCATCTTTATTATTTAAAAAAAAAAAAACAAAAAAAAACCTGGGAAGAAGAGCAATTGCATCCCAAATTCCCATTTGAATCTAGCGTTTTCACGTGTTTTCTTCCAGAGTATTTCGCGTGTGTCTGAGATCCCACCACCCCTACATGTCCATGTCCTGCTTTTCCTCCCGAGAATAGCCCAGAAGTGCCCTTGCTCGGTCAGGTCGGCTGCCCGTCCTGCCCCCTCCTTCCGTCTTTTGCATCTTGTATATGAACGCCCTAATGGGGACGCCTGGGTGGCTCAGCGGTTGAGCATCTGCCTTCGGTTCAGGGCGTGAGCCTGGGGTCCTGGGATCAAGTCCCGCTTCCAGCTCCCTGCGGGGAGCCTGCTTCTCCCTCTGCCTGTGTCTCTGCCTCTCTCTGGGTCTCTCATAAATAAATAGATAAAATATTTTTAAAAAAAACAAAGCAAAAAAACAAAACAAAACAAAACAAAACTGTGATGCACATTTTTTATTAGAAAGCTTTCCCCCACATAGCCAGAGATCTCTTTAGGCCAGACTCCCAGAAGTGGCATTACAGGCCCAAATATCCTTTGCCATTCAGACGTGTACTTTCTTTGAGATGACACATTTCACCTCAGACATGGCACCTGGATTTGGGAAGTGGACCTAGAGGGCCTGCCTTTCCTGTCCAGTCCCTCCCTGGGCAAGGTGTAGAGGGGGCCATGGGCCCTACTAACTCACTGACCTTACCCGCTCTGGGGCCTTGGTTTCCATTTGTTTTTTTTTTTTTGTTGTTGTTGTTGTTTTTAAAAAATTATTTATTTATTTGAGAGAGAGTGAGTGAGAGAGAGCACAAGCCGGGTGAGGGGTGAGGGGCTCCCTGCTCAGCAGGGAGCCCAATGCTGACTGGGCTCAATCCTGGGACTCTGGGATCATGACCTGAAGTGAAGGCAGGTGCTTAACGACTGAGCCACTCAGGTACCCTGAGGGGCCTCAGTTTCCTTAGATGTTAAGTTAGAAGCATGAGCCATGCAATCCCTCTCCCACCCAGAGTTCCCATGTCTGTCCGAGGTTCAGGTGTCCAAGGCTGTGACTTGAAGCGTCAGTCATTCCCATCACAGCTTGTTCCGACACTGCATGGACATCGGCGGTGGAAACATAAACTGTAACGTCCTATGAAAACGTGAAGCTTCCAAGCTCCGCACTCTTGTTTTTGTCAATTCCTTGTACCTTTACTTAAAGGATGACAGGACCATAATCTCCTGTAACTACAAAGCCTGCCATATGCCAGATCCTCCACACAAATTTTGCTCTAAGGTCCACAAGCAACATGTCAGGAAGGGGGAGCATGAGCCCCACTTGACAGATGGGGAAACTGAGGCTCACGGAGGAAGTGACCTACCCATGGTCACACAGAGCTACTCGGTAGCAGAGCCATGATTGCACCCAGCTCTGTCTGATGCCAAAGCCTCCCCTCAGCCACGCTGTCCCTCCAGGAGGTCAGGTGCATGAAGAGCCCGGTAGAGTCACCGTCACCATCAACAAGGCCTTCTTCTCTGTGGGGAGAGAACTCCCTCTCCGTGGGGAGCTGCACATACGATGTTCAACTGATGCTGGCTGAATGCATGAGGCCCTGATGTTTTGGGGTGGTGTGATCCAGGGGACCTGGAGAGCCCCACCTAAGTGCGCTGAGAGCCCAGCCTCTGAGTCAGACCGCCCTCCTGCCCTGCCTGCCTGCCAGGACTGGGCACCCAAGCACCACTGCCTAGGGGATGCTCCCCCACCTCTGGGTTGGGCTGGGCAGGAAGCCCTGGCAGGAAGGGATCCTCACCTCTTCCTCTGGTGGAGCAGAAGGGCACACCAGGAAGGAAGGAGACTCGCCCGGGGCCACCCTTGAATGATGAGAGTCCGCCACCCCCTCCCGACATGCACAGACGTGGGAGGTCATTTCATGGTGGGAGGGTTGCTCACTCATACCATTCAGGTAACAAATCCCTCCCCAGGGTCATGCTGTGCCCAGTGGTGGCACAGTGATGGTGCAGGGGTCCAGGGCAGTGTCAGCTTTGACCTGAGGAGTTCTCAGGCTGTACGGGAGACAGACCCACAAATATAAAAATTATCCATCAGGATAGAAAGAAACTGGGAGCCGGGCACAGAGGGACACCAACGCCTTTTATCCTGGTGCCCTTAACAACGTCCACTGTGCAGATGAGCAAGTGGAGGTGTAGAGGGGAGCTTGGTCACAGAGCTGGTCAGTGGTGGAGTCCACACTCTTGACCTCTGATCCTGGGCCCCGTATCCAGAGTCCCTGGGGATGTGCAGCAGTGTGGCTACTTGTTTTCTTTCTTTCTTTCTTTCTTTCTTTCTTTCTTTCTTTCTTTCTTTCTTTCTTTCTTTCTCTTTCTTTTTCTCTCTTTCTCTCTTTCTCTCTTTCTCTCTTCTTTCTCTCTTTCTCTCTTTCTCTCTTTCTCTCTTTCTCTCTCTCTTTCTTTCTTTCTTTCTTTCTTTCTTTCTTTCTTTCTTTCTTTCTTTCTTTCTTTCTGATTTTATTTATTCATTCATGAGAAACACAGAGAGGCAGAAACACAGGCTAGGGGAGAAGCAGGTTCCCTGAGAAGAGCCTGATGGGGGACTCATCCCAGGACCCGGGATCATGACCTGAGCCAAAGGTAGATGCTCAACCACTGAGCCACCCAGGGGCCCCAGCTACTTGTTTTCAAAGCTGGTTCTGGCTTCTGGGTGCAGGGAGGGGGCTGAGTGAAGGCAGTGCTGGGGGACGCAGAGCAGGAACCCACTGCCCAGAGCCCGGCTCAGCCGTCCAGCCCCCGAGGGTGCCCTCCATCCACGGACCCACCTGCTGTGTCTCCACTCCCGCCCTGTCAGGCCAAGCTGGCTTCCCTGGTTCAGAAGTGCCGGGAGAGGAACCACCTGATCACACACCTACTGCAGGAGCTGCGTAGACACGGGCTGGCGAATCACCTGCTCTCTGAGACGGCGCAGAGCATGGTTGACGACGTGGCACTGGCCGAGTACGCGGCCACCTTCCTGGCTCCGGGGCTCCCAGAGGTAGTTTCCACGGGCTTGCGCTGTCCCTTTTCCTGAGGGTGCTGTGGGCACATGGGCTTCCTGTCCCCCTGCCTGACCTGAATTGTCCCTCCCTCCCTCTGTCCGCTGACCCCACTCAGGACATGCCCAAGACCCCTGCTCTGTGCTGGCACCGTGTCCTGGCTGGTGCAGGAAGGCGATCCGGGCGGGCATCCTTACCCTCCAAGTGTTCACGACACAGTGCAGGACACACACACACACACACACACACACACACACACACATTCACACACTGTTAGTTCCAGGTCCTACAAGCACCGTGACATTTGTTTCACCAGATGGTTCTTTCACATGTGCCTCAGGGCCTTAGCACGCACTGCTTCCTCTGGCAGGATTCTTGCCTGTCCCGCAGCCTCCTACACATACTTCTGGACACCGTTCCCGTGTGACCTTGTCCAGGCAGCGTTCCCTGACTCCCAGGGACCACAGAGTTAGCACATCCTCGGTCCTCCGTGGCACGTCAGAGGGATCCTCCCCTGCTGCTGCGGGAGCTTTGTGGGCACCTCTCTGTTGGGGCTCCGTAACCAACAGAGTGGCTCCGTAACCATCTCTGTCTCCCTAGTGCCGGGCACAGAGAAGCTGTTCAGGGAATAATTGTTGAATGAATGGAATCAGGAACTAATGGCATGAGGATCTCCTCTCCTCACTGTCATTTGAAGAGGAAACAGGCCCAGAGAGGTTGGGAGGCTCACTCGAGGTCACACAGCCCCCAGGCAGTGTGGACGGTCTGGGGTGTGTGCTCTCACCCCAGGTCTGGCTGTGAACAGTAGCGCCAGGGTCTATGCTTGTGGTATGAGGGTGCCCAGCTGAGGCTGCCCCCAACCCCACACACGGGGGACCAGCCAGCAATACCCCCAACCAAACGCAGCTCCTGATGGTGTGAGGGCGAGATGCAGCTCCTGCTGTGGACGTAGCAGGCTCTGTTTTCCACATGCTCACTCGGCAGCTTAGGGCCAGCTCTGTTCCTCCACTCCTCGGCCCTTCCCAGCCCAGCTCTGCAAGGCCGGTCTTCTGTGTCCCTTCTGTTCCCCCACAACTGTCAGAGGTCCCCTGGTCCCAGGAGGTGGAGACCTGGAGGCCAGAGGGTCTGCTCAGGGCCACATGGTGACTTGGTTCAGAGCCAGAATTTGAATCCAGAGTCCCAGACTCCCAGTCCAGTGCTCATCTCTTTGTGTGAATGGTTCACGCCTCTTCAGAGCCAGCATAGGGCTGAAGAAAGAGGTCAGCAGCTTGTTGAGGTGCTTGGAACCATCTCTGCATATCCAGGGTGTGCGATGCAGTAGGTGTCACAGGAAAGGGCCGGCGGGCTGTGTGCTGAGCGGGCATCACAGCAGGGAGCGCCCCCGCCTCCAAGGGCTGCTCCGAAACTAGAGCTGAGATGTTGGCTGGTGTTGGAGAGGCTGACTTACAATGACCAAATGCACAGAGACAGATGTATAAACCAGAACGCGACTTTATCAATTTCTTATGAGAACTAGAACCATGTGTGGGCTGACATATGGGATGGATGGATGAAAAACATGTCAGCATATCCTTCCCCGAAGGGTGGAGTTGTCTGGAAAGTCAAGTTCATTCATTCATGCCTTTGTTCATTTGTTAATCACTAAACATTTATGATCAGAAGATCCTTTTGGAGGCCGAGATGAGAACAGGGAGAATTAATGGAGCCTGATTCGTTCATTTCCTGTAAGGATTGCTCCTGGGCCTGGATGTGCCTCCCGCTGGGCCAGTTATAAGCTTCTGTTTTCAGGTGGCTTTGAACCTGCCCTGACTCTTTTTTTTTTTTTTAAAGATTTTATTTATTTATTCATGAGAGACACAAAGACCTAGGCAGAGGGAAAGGCAGGCTCCATGCAGGGAGCCCAATGCGGGACTCGTTCCTGGGACTCCAGGATCATGCCCTGGGCCGAAGGCAGGTGCTCAACTGCTGAGCCACACAGGCGTCCCTGCCCTGACTCATTTTGCATTACTTTATAATTCTGTTCTCCAGGAACACCCCCACGTTCATGATCGGGGGCGATGCCTTACTGTTCCCTGTACAGACCACAAAATCTCAGCTCTCCCATCGCATGCTACGTACTTATTGAGCACCTACGGCCATGACCCAGGCCTGGTGCCGAGCGCTGGGCAGAAAGGATGAAGGGGACAGACCAAATGTGCAAGCCCCCACGGAGTGGATAATCACAAGTCATAGTGAGTGTCGTGAAAGAAGCAGAAACAGGAGGGAGACTGACTATGTGCATGTCTTTGGGCAAGAAGACTCTGACGTGTTCTGAGCCTCATCTGTAAAATGGGAACAGTACAGCCTACATAGCAGAGTTGACGTGAAGACTGATAATCCGCTAAGCACGCCGTACAGGGGTCCCACTGGGTAGGAACTTGGTCCTCTTGTGGGCAGTTTTCAAGAGGGTGCGCCCTGGCATCGGGGAGCTCCACCAGTGCGTAGCTCTGTGGCCTCAGGAGGGGACACTTCCATGTACCCCTTAGAGCGCACGGGGGCTTTCCCACGTGCTTTACGGAGCTCACTCCGGAGGTCCTCTCGGGGAAGGTGCATCACCATCTCTTCCCCAGTTGAGAAGCCCGAGGCTCAGAGGCTACAAGTCTTGCTTGAAGGCATATCTGTGAGTAGCTTTCCAGCTTGGCCTTCTCTGCGTGAAGCTGCTTGCCTGAGCCGAGCTGGGGTTTGATCCTGGCGGGGTGGCTTCTGTGCCCAGCCATTGCCATCACAGGCCTGTGGGAAGGGGGGCGTAGTGGGTGCATGTGGCCTGTTGGGAATCAGAGTAGCAGCATGGGGTCTGGTGCATCCCAGGTCCTCATTGAATCGGGCCCTCTTGCTGCCAGAAGGCCAGCCCCCAGTGGGCAGCTATAAGGCAGTGACGTGTCTAAGAAACCAGGGAGCTCCAGGCTGGCCAGAGGGCCAGGTGCTGAAGGGAGCAGTGGTGGGAGACTGCAGCGGGTGGGAGGTCACTTGTAGTGAGTGGGGACTAGAGCTGGTGTGGGAGAGGGCATCCCTGGGCTTCGGGAAGGCAGATCCAGCAGGTGTGAGAGCCAGGCCGGGCTGTGCATAGCAGCTCTGTTAGTTCAACAGCGGATGACTTGGGCTGTGAGGACCAAGGGCCAGGTGGCGAAGCAAAGCCCCGGGGGGTGAGGGTGGTGGCAGCTCCTCCTGCTGGCAGCTGGGCAGGAGGTGGGTTTTATGGGCTCTGGCTCTCATTTCAGAGGACACAGATGGAATTCCCGATGGAGGCTTTGGACTCTGGCTTGCAGCCTGGGAGTGCTGCCCAGCTGGCTGGGGAGACACTGGTGAGCTCGGGGTGGCATGTGCCAGAGCAGAGGATACACTGTGGCCGGGCATCGGGGGTGCTGTATGTACCAGGTGACGCCTTGCAGAAACATCTCTGGGAGGGCCTGGACCCTGGGGGCTCCGGTTGTCTGGCCCCTGCCCTTGGGAGGAGACCCACACTGACCACAGGCATCCAAGGGGTACGAGGTGTGGACTGGGCTGGGATCCAATCAGATAGTCCACCGTTCGTTTATTCACTGGAAGTGGTGATGATGGTCAAGGCTCAGCCCTTCCCCTGGGCCAGCATTCTCCATGGATTAGCTCACTTCATCCCCCCAAAGCCCAAACTGAGGCTTGGAGCAGTCAAAGGGCTGGTCAGGGTCACACCTGGGGTTGGCAGGCTGGGGTGCAGGGCTACGACCATCTACACTCCCGCCCTTGGAGAGGGTGCTCATGCCTAGAACAGGTCACTCGGGTCAGTAGGTACCTTCAGGAGCCCCCTCCTGGCTGCAGACGACTGCCTTCTCTCTGTGTCCTCATGTGGTGGAGAGAGCGGCCAGGTGTCTCTTGTTATAAGGGCACTAATCCCATCCTGAGTGCTCCCTCCTCAAGACCTGATGCCCTCTGAATACCATCACATGGGGGTTAGGATTGCGGGATATGAATTCTGGGTAAGCCCAGACATTCAGTGCATGGCACTGAGGGACCAAGACAGACACAGGGATGGGGTGGGGACCTCCCATCTGCTGTGCTGGTGTCCACTGACCCGCCGTCCTGCCCTTGACGTCTTAGGCCTTGGACGGACCCTGGTGTCTTTCCTGCAGCTCTGCTAGTTCTCTGCAGCTCAGGCATCGGTTCTAAAGCAGGAGGAATTCCTGGTGGCCAGCGTGGCCAGCTTTCCCATGATCTTATAGTGGGGAACACTGGGATCTTGGCCCCTCCCTGTCTTTATCTGGAGATGGGAGCAAGGGGAAGTCTCCTTGCAAAAAAAGGCTTCCCTTCTTTGGATTCCTAAAATCTCTCAGGGGATTCTCAATTCCACACACATACCCCAAACTCGGTTTAAGTGGGTGGGGCTCAAAACACCCTCTCAGGGACCTCTCACTACCCCCACACCCCCAGTCCCAGGACACCTATTTTTTCTGGCTTCTACCAGGACCTAGGCTGTTGACATTCTAAAGCCGAGAATGAGACACCTTTCTTTGTCGTTTATACTCAGGTATTATCTCCTCCTTAGAGGCAGATGCCCAGGTGCCAAAGAAGAGGTAGAGAAGGGGTGCCAGGGCTCACCTGGGAGATGGCCTTGGTTAGGGTGGTGCCATGCCCTCCCACCCAAGCCTGAACCACCTCCCCCAGGTTCTGGCCCAAGGTCAGCTCAACAAATAGAAAGTCCCATCAGAGAATTGATGAGTTGGCCCTTCCTGGCGCCCTGCAGTTCCTGGGACTCTAAGCACATGTTTACTTGGCAGATGAAGACACCCAAGACCCTGAGGGATTGCCATCCTAAGACCATAGCACTCACCATTCACCTCCCTGTGCTCTAGGGCAGGGACCTTGCAGTCCCTCTGTAGGGCTCTAAGTTCGAGCAAGACCTCTTCAAATGTCCAGCACAGAACTGTCACCTGCAGATGCTCACAGAGCAATGTGGTCCCTTTAAGCAGAATCCCAGTTCTGCGGTCCCAGGGGGAGGCCAGGGCTTGGGGTGCCAGCAGTGGAGAGTCCCCTGGACCGCAGCCTTGGGAAGATGCAGGCGCCCCAGCAAGGGAGCTGCTAATTTCTCTTCCTCTTGCCTTGCTTTTTTCCTCTACTCTCCACCTCCTGAAAAGGCCTTGCTTTCCTCTGGGTATTGTCAACCACGTCTATATATGGGCCTTCAGAAATAGAATCTCATCTTAAAAAGAAGCAGAGAGACTGACTCGGAGCCCTAAACTCCCCTAATTCATTAAAATCAATGACCCCAAGCCTGGGCCTCCAAGGATCCAGGCAATTATTTTCTATTTAGCTTTTGCCTTTTACGAAGTTTAGAATATTCTCCCACCCAAAAGTTTACAAGAAGAGAGAGGTGGGGTGGGGGTGGCGGTGTGGGCAGAGCATGTAGGGCGGATCTTTGCTACCCTGTGTGGAGCGTCCAGTAGGCATCCATTCTCATTGTATCCCGACAAACCGTGTCAGGAACAGACTAGTATGCCCATTCTACAGATGGACAGGACAGGGCTCAGGGAGTTCCACTAACTTGGCCACGACCTTGGAATCAGGAAGTGACAGGATTCAGCCTGCAAGCGCCTGGCTCTGAGTCCCTCCAGGCTGGTATGATAAATGAGGAGCAGAAAGCAGAGGAGGATCTCTAGAACCTCGATCACGTGCTGAATGCAGTGCCACCTGGAAGCCAGTTGAATGGATCCGAGGCTGCTCTGGATAGGAAGGTCAAGGAAACCTTGTTCTCATGTTGAAGGAGTCTGCATCGAATGAGACTAACTCTAAGCCGGGTGCATTTGGAGCACTGGCAGGGAGCAGAGAGGAGAGATTTGATGGGGACTAGGCTTCCTGCAGGAGGAGGCATACACACCAGGCCTGGAAGGATATAGAGGGGTAGAAATAGCTGGAAGGACGGAGCGAAGGTGCCCTAGGCCTGGAGACCTCCAGGAGGGAGGACACGGGGGTGTGAATGGTGACGGTACTAGAATACACGCGTCGTCCGGGGGGATATAAGTGCAGCAGGCTAAGAGCTTGGTGGAGAAGAGGCAGTGTGCCTAGTGCCAAAGGCTCCAGTAAGAGTGGTGTGGATTGCGGTCAGGCCATAATCGGTGCCCCTGTGCATTAGCTCTGGATTCGTCAATCCATTTTAGAGGGGACAAATGGCCCAGATGTCACAGCACAGCATGGAGGGGCTATGTGAGAGGCAGGTGGCTGAACTCTCCCGGGGAAGTCAGGGAAGACCTCATCCAGGAGCGGACATCTGAATTAGGTCATGACATACACATGGAAGTTCATCAAAGAAAGACAGCGTGTGTCGGGGCCTTCAGGCAGGGGGCCAGCTGATGCCAATACTTGTACACATGGTGCTGGGGGAGGGAGGTATCCCAGCAATATCTCACACAGAGCCCCTGCCCCACCGGAATCTTCCATGAGGAAGTGAGGTCTGGGCTGCTGGGCTGGAATCTGACCTGCTTTGAAGGTCAGCACTGCTCTTGTGACCCCGATCGGGGGCTGCCAGTCTGAGCAGCTGAGGTGCCATTGCCTCACCACCTCTTGCGGACCCGGTGCAGTCATGGGATCCAGCAGAATACCCACCCAGCAGATGGGGTGGTGTGGGGGACTCGACTCCCAGCATGACTCAAATTACCGGGTGACTGAGCCAGGGACCCCAGGCACAGCTCAGCAATTGGCTCTTGCAAGGTGTCAGCAGGACCTCCGTGGAGAAAGACTATTCCCCCTGGAAACCCTGCCATCCAGCTGCCCTCAATTTTTCCACTTTTAACAGCAGTTTCTAAAACACATTAATCACAAGCTCAGTTTGGAGATTTAATTTGGGTAAAGGAAATGCAATCGTTTTCCTGCACCTGTATTCCCTAAGAGCAAAGCCTCCTCCTTGGTGGGTCGTGGGCAGAGGAGGGATGGGTGGATTGACCAGAGAATGTGCTTTCTGCAGGGAGGGGTGGGGGGCCTGCTTCATTCCATTGCAGCCACCTGCGTGAGGCTTTTACTCCTGGGCCATGCAGAATAACTGCTGAGGTGTCTTTTCTTCCAGACCAGCCACCATCTGGATGTCGAGTCTGAGAAGGCAGGAGTCGTAGGAGGTCAGTGCAATATTCAATTAGGAATATCTGTGTAGGGCAGCCCCGGGTGGCTCAGCAGTTTAGCGCCACTTCAGCCCAGGGCCTAATCCTGGAGACCCGGGATCAAGTCCCACGACAGGCTCCCTGCACGGAACCTGCTTCTCCCTCCACCTGTGTCTCTGCCTCTCTCTCTCTCTCTCTCTCTCTCTCTCTCTCTCTCTGTGTGTGTGTGTGTCTTTCATGAATAAATAAATAAAATATGTTAAAAAATAAAATAAAGGAATATCTGTGTGCTCAGACACTGTCCAAACCAGCAGGACGACCTGACAGGTGGGCCAGGGTCAAGCGCAGGCTGTGAGGAATGGGACTCCCATTCCCCTGCCTTCTCGCTTCCCAGCATAAGCAGAACACAGTAGGAAAACTACTGTCTCTGCAGAAGCAGCTGAACTCCTCAGCCCTGTGGTTTTACTCCTGGAAATTCATCCTAAGTAAATAATTCTCTGTGTGGAGAAGTTCAATGGACTTGCCAGGGCATTTCTAATAATGAAAAACTGGTGGTGGGGGCTGAAAGTGGGGGTGCATCCTCCAACATTGTTAAATAACCCATAGACTCGATGAGATGTTGGTCACTAGAATCATGCTGCTAAGCACCATGTGAAACCATAGGAATGATGATATTCTCTTAAATTCTGAAAAGATAGGGAATGGAATGTGTGGGCTGATTATAGTGATAAAGCTATATAAGCACATCTGGGTTATTGACAGCTCACACTAGCAGGTAAACTCAGGTTCTTCCAGTGGTTACTTAGAAAGATGGTAATAGGGGTGATGGCTTTTGCTCTGTTACTTTTATTATAAAAAAGGAAATGGGGATCCCTGGGTGGCGCAGCGGTTTGGCGCCTGCCTTTGGCCCAGGGCGCGATCCTAGAGACCCGGGATCGAGTCCCACGTCGGGCTCCCGGTGCATGGAGCCTGCTTCTCCCTCTGCCTGAGTCTCTGCCTCTCTCTCTCTCTCTCTCTCTCTCTCTCTCTCTCTCACTGTGTGCCTATCATAAATAAATAAAAAAAATTTAAAAAAGGAAATGAAGATGCACCCAGGTGGGCAGAATTTTCCCGGTGAAGTGCAGCAGGCTCTCAGTGTGGGGGAAGGGAGGCTTCTAAGGATCGTTTAGGGCTATGTTCATATCAGGGGCTCAATAGAAGCATGGAGAATGCATGGGGGTGTTGCTTTTAGGTGACCAAACTGCTCTTGAGATCTGCTCATCCAGCAATTCTTTTTTTTTTTAAGAAGATTTTATTTATTTATTCATGAGAAACACAGGCGCAGAGACATAGGCAGAGGGAGAAGGAGGCTCCCCTAGGGGAGCCTGATGCGGGACTTGATCCCCAGACCCCGGGATCATGCCCTGAGCCAAAGGCAGATGCTCCACTGCTGAGCCACCCAGGGGTCCCTCATCTAGCAATCCTTATTACAGGATCCTGTACTTACCAGCTGTGTAATCTTGGATGAGTTAATTAACCTCTCTGAGCCCCAGAGTCTTATCTTCTAAAGGAGGCTGAGAGGACCTTTCTCAGGAGTGTCTAATGCCTGACCCCAAAAGAGAAATCTTTCCTCTGTCTTTATCTGGTCAGCTGGGCCTGTCCTCCTGTACCTTCCTCTCCTCTCCTTGCAGTCTGAGTTGGCATCTGCTTTCACTGTTGGAAGGTTATAAATTCCACTTGGTCCTGCATATGCCACTGATTTGTACAAGTGTCCTTCCTTCTCTGGGCTCAGGTTCCTCACCTTTAAAGGAAGGAAATGCTAGACTGATTGAGTTGCTTGTTCAGTCAACATTTCTGGAAGGCTGCCATGTACCAGAGCCAAGGTAGGTGTTGCAGGGTTTGCAAAAATGGGTCGGATTTTGCAGATGTGGTGGTCCCCGTGTTGAATGAGCTGGCAGCTGGTGAGGGAAAGCTAAGGCAGACAGGCAGTTTTCTAGGATACTCACGACAATGATGGGACCATCAAGGGGTATAGATGAAGCACTCAAGGATTTGAGGGCACCTGAGAGGGACTCCATCAGGGGACATGGGGATCTTGGAATGGCAGAGACTGGTAAAGGTTATTCTAAGGCTCTGTTGATTTTTAGAATAGATTTCTGGGTTGAGGCCTGACTGAGAATACTCTTTTCTAGCTCAGAAATCCCTCCTGAATCTCAAAATGGACAGTGTCAGCATCCAAAGACCTTTGCATTCAGAATCCCGGCCTGTTCCTGAGGCTGAGTGGCCAGCACAGATGGCTCGACTGGATTCTCCGAAGGTGAGAAGATATCAGTCATCTAATTTCTTAGATGTTTTTTTCATTAAAAGTATGACACACATGTGGGAAAAGACACCACTTGTAAGTGTACAGATCAATGAATTATCATGGAATGATACCCAAAAAGTTGTCACCAGGTCGAGAACTGGGAAATACACAGCCCTACAGAAACCTCTCCTAGTCTCTATTATCTATTTTTTAATTTGTATATTTGGTCAAGTCCTGTGTTCTGTGTCTGGTTATTTTTCATTGAGTGCTGGACATCACATGTGAAAACTTACAGACATAATTTGAGGTTCTTCATCCAGAGAGGGCTTCCTTTTGCTTATGACAAGCAGCAAGGCCAGGGCAGACCATTCCTTACATCATACCTGGTTCAGAGATGAGTTTCAGTATTTGTGAGGTCTGCTTTCTTTCCTGTTTGCTCTGTTTTATAAAAATATTTTATTTATTTTTGAGAGAGAGAGAGAGAGAGCAAGCGAGCATGATTCAGGAGAGGGGCAGAGGGAGAGGGAGAAGCAGACTCCCCACTGAGCAGAGAGCCTGATGCAGGACTTGATCCCAGGACCATTGGATCATAACCTGAGCTGAAGCCAGTTGCTTAACCAACTGAGCCACACTCAGGCATCCCTTCCTATTCACTCTTACTCACGGGCATAGCCTTTAGGGGTCCCAACTAGAAGCCTATAGTGTTTATCAGTGTCTTCCGTCTTTGGCCCTTGTCAATCCATGAGTCTCTCAAAAGCTCTGCTTATCCTTCCACCTCTCCACTGCCACCTGCCCTGTCCTCACCTGGAGGGAAATACAGCTTCCATGGCTGCACCAACTACTCCCGGCATGTCTCCTGTTTCTAGTTTTAGTACCTCAGATCCTGACCATCTTGGAGGCTCTTGGATGGTTTAAATAGACACTGTGTTATATTCCGTCCTGCGTTTCTAGTACTTACTGGAGGTTTGGTCCAAAATGTCCTAATCAGTTGGAGCCAGAGCAGCCCTTTCTTTTCCCAGAGAAAACCCATTATACCCAGGAGAAGTAGAGCCTGAGAGGCCTAAGTTCAAGTTCCAGCTGTGATTCTGTGTGATGTTTGGCAGATTATTTAACGTGTCTATGTCTCCACCTCTTCATCTGTAACATAGGATAATAGCGCCTGCGGCTAGTAGGAGGCGCAAAACCAGGGAAGCCGGGCTGAATATGTGTCTGGACAAGAGGGATGCTCAGGAGGCAACTGATCTTATTCTTAGCATTTTATCTCAGCCTGTAGTTGGTTTCTTTCTACCTGTTATTCCTGTGGCTTCTCTCCTGTCTCCATGGTTATATAAAATTTTTTATCTAAAGCCTGGAGACAGGGGCGCCTGGGTGGCTCAGTCAGTTAAACATTTGCCTTCAGCTCAGGTCGTGATCCTGGGGTCCTAGGATCAAGTCCTCATCAGGCTCCCTGCTCAGCTGGGAGTCTGCTTCTTCCTCTCCCTCTGCTCCTCCCCCACCCCACTTGTGCTTTCTCTCTCCCTCAAATAAATAAATAAAATCTTTTAAAATATATAAATAAAACCCGGAGATAATATTTCCCTCTTGGAATTGTTGGGACTGTTTCACAAAATCATACACGTAAGGTACTTGCTATTCTACTGAGTACAAGAGAGGTGTTCAATAAATGCTAGCTGTTGCTACTGACCTTCTTAAACCTTTTTTTTTTTTTTGTCTTGACTGATGACTTTCATTTTACATTCCTCGTCTACAGGTTTATTCCCTAGCAAGGAGAACTTTCTTCCAGCTCTGGTCTTTATCTAGTAAAATTCCCTCTGACTTTTGATCTTTGGTTGGCCTGGCTTATCACAAGCAGGCAGGAGGCATCCTAGACAAAGAGAGTGATGCCTGTAGAGACAGAGGGGTGAGTGCTCCCCCGGGGTTGGGGAACCGCAGGCAGTTGAACGTGACTGTGGCACAAAGTTAGAAGGTGTAGAGTGGAGTCTAGGGGATCCCAGTGATGATGTGGATGAGAACAATGGGAAAAGAAAACCCCCACTCCCGCTTCTTCGATGCTTGCTTGCTATGTGCAATACACTGACTTTCCCATTCTCACGAGGGGCCTTCAAAGTAGGTATCAGCATTAGCCCCTTTCCTATGAGAAAAGGTGAGGAGCAGAGGAGGTAAACCACCAGCCCTGGGTCATACAGTTAGTAAGCGGCCGAGCTAGGGTCCACCCCAGGCAGCCTGGCTCTGGAGCTGCGGCGGTGGCAGCTCAGTGACCAGATCATGCAAGGCCTTCACCGGAGGAATGGGAGCAGTCCCTCCTGCCTCCTGTGCAGCCCAGTCTGGACCTCAGTGTGAGGAAAAACCCCTCAGAGGTGTCATGTAGGTGGTGCTGGCCAGAAACTGAGAGTAACCCTCTTGAGGGGGTGGTTAGAACAGAAATGGAATGAATGAATGAACTAAAAGAGCACCTTCACACTCGTAGGGCTCTGAATTTCTCAATTGTTCTTTATCTTTCCAAGTTTCCAAGTCATGGCCATACATGTAGAATGCCACTGGATCAAAACCCTTCTTCAAGTGGATGTAATTTCAAGCCCACAGGATGTCTTCCACCTCTGCAGCAAGATGATAGAATGTCACTGTCGATATCTCTGTTCCCAGGCTTTACCCAGCACCTGGCGGAGGGAGGCCTTCATGAATAATTGGGGGGGGGGGGCTGGTGAGCTCTTTCTCTAGAGGGTCACACGGCACCTCGTTCCCAGCCCCCAGCACTGCACCGTCACACCCCTGCCCAGTCTTGGTCCTGCTCTGTTGTAAAGGACATCAAGGAACAGAGCCCTCTGCCTTGCGGAAAAACAGATTGCAAGCCGTCGATCCTGGCTGGCTCAGGGTAAGGGATTCCTGGGGTGAAATGAGTTTGTTCGATAACTGCTCCAGGGGATCAGTGACCTATCAGCAAAATGAGGTCCTTTTTGAAGGATAGTAACAAAATTTGTCATATGTTACAATTCTATTATTTTATGGTTGAGCTTAGAAAACAAAGCAGGGGGAAGCCTAAAAATACACAAAAATATCCTGAGAAGGCTGGTAAATCTTTGGTGATTGAAGAAATATTTGTCCCTATGTCACATCACCTTGATAATGTCACTCTGTCACAGAAGACCCTTCATCTGTCCTGTTTTAACAGCCGACTGTAGTAGTGAACAGGGCAGGCTCAAGGGTCATGAGGCCTGGGCTTGAATCTTGACTTTGCTTCTTATTAGCTGTGTGGCCATCAGCAAGTCACTTAACCTCTCTGAGACTCCTTCTTCATCTGTGTAATGAGATAATAATATTGTTGCCTCTTTGGGTTACAGACTGAATGAATCAATGTGTATAAATTGCTTAGCATGATACCTGGCACAGCACAGGAGCTCAATAAATGTCCACTGTCGCTCTAGGTTGAACCGTATGAAATATTCTACTCCCCCTTCCCTCAAAGTCTGTGCTTTCATAAGGTTTAAACTATTATTGTCAATATGACAAGTCCAGATTCCTTAAGTCGCGGTTTGCATTCTATGTGTGCATTTCTCTACCTTCAGCTTTTAACGCCGCAGAATCCTGCTCTTTCCCAAAAAGTCTGGCTCAGACACTGCCTCCCACAGGAAGCCTTCCTGCTCATGAGTGTGCTGTGGGTGCTTCCCTCTTGGGTGCTCCCCTGGCAGCTGTGTGGGCCTCTCTTCCAGCTCCATCTCTGCAGTGGGACCTGCATGTATGTCTGCCTGCCTGTGCTGCTGGGTGGGGAGCACCCCGGGGGAGGGGCTGGTCTAGGCAGGGCACACAGGGCAGTGCTCAGTGACCGTCCCCCCCCTTTCCTGTCTTGCTCTGCCTTTCTCAGCCATCCTCCTTGGGTGGTGCTGAGAGGGCAGTGAGCGTGCATCATTGCCCCTGGGGTCACTGGAGGAGCTTGCTCCACCTGACTCTGTCTGACTGGTGAAGCACAGACCCGCTAGTCACCCTCCCAGAGGACTACTGAGCAGGGACGTAAGTGGGACTCACACTGCTGAGCACAATGGTCCTCCCTCCCTGTCATTTGTAGGGAAGGTGCATGCTAAATGTGGGATGCTGGGTGAGGAGGGCTGGCACCGTACAGTAGCCCCTGGTGGAGCTCCAGAAAGGGGTTTTGAGGTCAGGTGGGCTTGGGTTTGGGCATTGAGCTGGTCGCTTCAGAGCTACATAGATTTAAGTAAGCTATTTAGAGTCTGTGAAACAGGCTCCGGGTTGCTCATCCGTCGTGCAGGCCTGATGACCACCTGGTGGGAGGATTCCGTGGAGACAGGTGAACCAGCTCGTTGACAAGAGCCGTGGGCAGTGCTGGGCATGAGGTCGGCGTCCAGTTAACACCAATCTCCTTTTGATGGGATGGTCACCATCTCTCAACCCTGCGAACAAGAAACTGTCGAGCGGACACTTGCTGTATAGGGACACCCATCAGTGATTATCTTGGCAGACACTTACTGGATGGCATGGTGGGAGCCGCCCCCCATCCCCAGCTCCCCACCCATGGCACCACGATGACGTTGTACGCCTCATTGAAGTGTAATAGAAGGAACTGAGCAATGAAGGAGGAGCCCTGGCGTGGGGTACGGGAAGTGCTCAATGAGTGTTCCTTATCATAGCCGTCTCCTCCCTGGATAAATGTGGGATCAGGGGGCTTTTATGAACAAATAGAAGCAAAGACCATTTGATTCTGCTCTTGCCTCCAGCTTCCCCTGCCCTCAGGGCTGACGCCTGCTCCTGGAGTGTGCCCGGCTACCGCCACCGTGGAGACAGCACTCTCTGCACAATCCTGGCGAGAAGAAGGCGGACCATCCTGTCCCATCCTCCTCCAAGCCGATGGCCTCCCGCCACCCCCTGAGCTCCTGAGTCCTGCGAGGATCCTGGCTCTCCACAAAGAGCTTAGACAAAGCATTTGCAGCAATTCGCAGGTCAATAAATCACCGCTGGAGTTCTAAATTTAATGGAACCACTCATGCTCCGGGGCCATTTCATAGACTCCATAAATATTTGAAGCAGAACCTTCAGACACTGCTTTAAGAAATTGGTAGCAATCAAAGCCCTCATTCAGTGGCAAGTGGTTTTGCCTCTGGCTCAGAGCTCTGTGTTGGTTGTCAGAGCTTGGGAGAAATACTGGACTCTGCTTGCACATTCTGAGGGCTTTGGCTTTGGCTAATGTCAAGGCAGCAAAGAGAATACTTACTGTACCAAAACCTATTGAGTGATGGGTCCAGTGGTTCTCAGCTGGGCATGATTTTTCCTAACCAGGGAGAAATTTGGCAACGTCCAGAGACATTTTTGTCATCACAATGGGGTAGTGCTCCTGGCTTCTAATGGGTAGAGTCCAGGGATGCTGTTAAACATCTCACAATGCACAAGACAGCATCCTACAACAAAGATTATCCAGCCTCAAATGCCAACAGTGCCGGGGTTGGGGAAGCCCCGCACTGGTCTGATAGCTCCTAACATGGTCAGCCACAGAGACCTGTTTTGTTATGCTCCTGGCCTCAGGGCTCTTCCCCATGATTTAAAAGATTTTTGTCTACTACATGAAATGCTTGACTTCAGTAATTATATATTTTACATTTTAAAACATTACAACCAATCAGAACTTTCTAATAAGCCCATTCCTTCAACTTATACTTGCTGACATGCAATAAATGCCAGGAAATACAATGTGAGGGTGAAGGAGGTGAGCCAGCTTTGGTTCTCGCCCCAGGAGCTCACATGGCAACGGGGGACACACGAATGAACTGAGCACTGTGCAGCCCATGGTTAAGTGTGCCATGAGATGCAAGATGAAGGGAAGGGCTCCTTCTGGAGAATGGAGGTCATTCAGGAGGGAAGGGCTGAGCAGAGCCCCTAAACCCAGTGAAGTGTACACCTGGGTGAAGTGGGTAAGGGTGTTACAGTCAATGGGAACAGCAGGTGCAAGTCTTTAAGGCATGAAACTGAACTTTGGATGTGTCACCGAAGGAGAAGTGTGCAAAGCAGCTCCTTGCCAAGCCAGCTGCAAGGGGTTCACCGCCTCATCCCGTCCAGCACCCTCTCCCTTTCCCCTGAGAACAGGACTCATGCCCTGACCCGGGCATAGGACTCAGGGGTAGAAGGAAAATGCATCCATCCTGAGGGCAGTCTACTCAACAGGAGAATCAAGGGAGCTTGAAATACATATGCCCAGATCGTGTCCCCAGGTTCACCAGTCAGAGACTTCGTTTCTGTCTTTAGAAAGAGCTGGTGAGAGTTTGAGGGAAAGATCCGGATTACCTTTCCAGGGCTGGAGCTGGAGCTTTACCTTTGTAGGGCTGGAGCTGGAGCTTCCTGGAAGCTCTTGTCACTTAGGGACAAGGAAGTTCCAGGGCAAGAAACCTAGGGCACCCGGGGCAGCAGTCAAAGCCCACAGATTTTATTTTAATGTAGTTTAACTCTGATGTTAAAAAGTGCAGAGAGTCCCCATACACCCTTTCACCTAGCTTCCCATAATGTTGACATCTTATATACCTAATCACATTGCAGTGACAGAAACAAATGGATTTATTTTGAGGGATGCTGGAGGTGTGGGCACTGATTTGTAAGAAAAGCAGGGCTATCAGGCAAGTGTTGGCACACTGAGCTGCTACCATCTTGATTAGCCCAAGGGGCTGTGCGATGGGTCATCACACCATCCATTTGTTCAGTTAGCATCCAGTGGTAACGGTCCCGTGAGGGCCAGGTCCTCGGCGAGGCGCTGGGAAGCAGGAACAGAGAACATGTGGTCAGTGTCTAACCTCTGGGACCTCCTGGCAGCTCTGTGGCCCCAACATCAGCGCTCAAGAAACCCCAGTGTTGGAAAACACTATTGTAAGATCACTGCGAGTCAACCACCACCCCACCACCCCCACCCCCTGGGGATCTCCAGCAGCACGGCGTCCTGCAGAGCTGGTGGCTAACATTAGTGTGTCACCTCCTCCTTTGGCACTTTTCCCACCTTTATTTTGGGCCAAGGCCACCATCAGCTCGGAGCTTTGGGAATATGATGAAGAGAGTTTACACCCAGGGGAAGCCAGGACACAGCCAGCTGCACCGCACTGCCCAGCCGCCGGATGCCTGGAGCCGTGCCTGGTCTTCAGGATGCTCCCACCAGGTCCGGGTGCTCTGCGTTCTATCACTGGAGTGCTCCCCTTCCTCCCCCACCTTCTGCTCATATTCGGGGCCTCGGTGGAAGAGGTAGCTGGGGAAGTCCCTTACGGGAAGCCCAGGCAACCTTTGCAGCATAACATGGTGATTCCATCATAAATCATGTTCCGAAGCCAGAAACCACTTCTTAACCCAGCCATGAGTTCCTGCCTGGGGCTGGCACTTCTGGGCACCTCAAGCTTAGTCGTTGCTTTGTGCTGTGATTCCCTGATGGCGCTTTTGTGTTGGCAGATGGAGGACTCTGGCATTTTCTTCACCTCAACCATAGACCCCAGCCCTTGGACAGGGCCACCCCCCTATTCCGGGTGGCCCCAATGTGTCCAGGGCCCAGTCTGGTCAGTCCCCCTGGGCGTGGAGGCTGTATCTGCTTTGGTGGCTGAGCGGGGTCAGACAGGAACTCGGCATGCAGGAGTTGGTGTCATCCCGGGAACACCACTGTGAGTGGCCTGAGGCCTCTGGGGAGCAGCCGGATGGACCAGCCCAGGCTGCCGAGACAGAAAACCATTTGTCAGATGGGCTGTCAGCAAGCAACAACGGTGGCCTTCTATGGATCGCCTGGCCAGGCTCTGCAGAGGGGAAGCCCCGAACCCAAGCAAGGTAATGCACACCCCCCGCCCCCTCACTACTGCAAAAGGGCCCCACCTGGGGCTTTTAAGCAAATCAGATGAGAGGGTTGGCCTGGCCCGTGGCCAAGCAGCAGGAAATGTTAAGGGCAATGTGTCTCCCCGCTGCCTGATTCATTGTCCTGATCTCCTGGGAGGCATTTTGCTCGAGTGGCAGAGGTTCTGCTCAGCAGATACTTCCCTGGGCAACTGCTGGGGCAGGGGGGTCTCATTCCAGGTTCCCATGCTCCAGGCTCCTGGTGGACAGATATGCATGATGGCATGGGCCAGGTGCCGCGGGGGGAACACAGGGTCCTGGGGCACAAAGCTGTGGCTAACCAGCCAACAGTCAGTGAGGACTTCCTGGAGGAAGTGTCAACTACGATGGGTCCTGGAGATGAGCAGCCATCAGCCAGGGAGGAAGGACAGGCAGACCTGGACAACCACCTGTGCAAAGGTCTGGGGTGGGATCAGGGGTGGGACACGGGGTGGGCGTACTTGTGTTTCTGTAATCCTGGGCTGGAAGGTGCTGGAAAGAAGGTGCTGCCTTTTTTGCTATCCTATTGTGACTTCTTCTTGTTTACTTATACTTGTTAGTATGAGTAAGACGTTTTCATTCTTCAAAATTTGGAAGGCACAGAGGTGTGTGCACAGTGCAAGTTTCTCCCTTTTCCCCAGTTCCCTTCTGCACAAATAGGCCCCAGTTTTTTCTGAATGCTTCCAGAGATGCTGATGGATTGTCCGCGGTAGCACACAGGTGGCCGCATAGATGCCCTGGCGGAGGCACGCTGCGCTGTTCTGCACCCTGGCTTTTTCATTTAATATATCTTGGTGATCATCCTGCATCAGAGCATGTATTTCTCATTCATTTTTTTAAAACAGTTGAGTTTCTGTTGCAGTTGCTTTCTGCTGTCTGGATACTACCAGTCCTCTTGATGGGCATTTGAATTGTTTCTGATCTTTTGTTTCATGACCCGTGTAGTCATGAAAATGCTCATACATGTACCTCTTTGCACATGTGTGAGTATATCTGAGGGTAAATTCCTGGAGAAGGAGTTGCTGCCTCGAAGCAGAGAAGGATCGGTCCCTTTGAGAGCCCCGGCCAGCCCTACTCCCCGCCTTACCTGGAGGCCCCACTTGCAATGCTGGGGCATCCTGGTTGCACATAGCCCTGTGATCACTCTGAGATGTGTCCTTTCAACTCGGCATCTACCTTGGAGCCCCAGATGTGCCAGGGGATATGTTGGAGATGGTGAACCAGACCACAGACCAAGGGGGGACCCTGCCCTCCCTGGGGAACTCTGGAGTGGGGAGATGGGAGTTTGTAAGCAGGTGCTTGCTTCCCAACCCCAATGAGGGACTGGTCCAGGTTTCCATCTCACAGATGCCCACAGCCTGGCTGGGATGTGATGTGTGGCATGAGTGACCTCAGTGCAGGGGAGCTGGGGTCTGGCCACCAGGGACAGATGGCAATACGGCCCTGGGGACTTGGAGCAGAGAAGGTGGCATTTAGGCTGAGCCACAGAGGGTGTTAGAGTCTCCAGGGCAGAGGTGGAGGCCCAGGTGAGACCAGCAGGAAGAGACCTAGGGCCTCTGAGCTATGCTCTGTGCTGGGCACCATGCTTGGTGGCTGACACCCCAGTTCCCAGGGTAGAAGCCCCTGGCTGGAGCCTAGGAAACGAGAGGTGGCCGGAGGAGCTGGGGCAGATGATCCCATGTAGCAGCTGCTGCAGACACCTGCGGTCACTACCCAGCTCCACTGCTCCCAGCCCCACAGAGGCTTGGTTTCCTCCTGTAAAAAGGAGGTGATGTCGCCTAACATTGTTCCACCTCATCAGAGCCTTGCCAGGTGTCTGGTGTCTGTGACAAGTGCCCTGTCTGCGTTGCTCAGCCCCTGGGTATCCCTCCTTCCCTCCTTCTAATGCTGGCAGGCGGGAGTCCCAGCAGCCTGGCAAATACCCTGCCTCAGCTCAATTCTATGTGCCTCAGTTTTTTGACCTGTCAGATGGGGACCCCTACCTCCCAGGGAGGGCTTGAGGGGCAAGTGAAGCCATGTCCCAGGAGCGCTGAAAATGGGCCCTGGAGCATGGTGGGGGCTGTGGAAATGCTGCCACTCCTTTATCTCTGTGCGTGTGATTTTTGAAAACCAGAATGAAAACCCCTTCGGGCAGGGTGATAGG